TGTGGGGTCAATTGGTTGGTGTGTGTGACGTCAGTTGGTATGTGTGACGTCAGTTGGTATGTCCAACGTCAGTTGGTATGTGTGACGTCAGTTGGTATGTGTGACGTCAGTTGGTATGTGTGACGTCAGTTTGTGTGTGACGTCAGTTGGTATGCGTGACGTCAGTTGGTATGTGTGACGTCAGTTGGTATGTTTGACGTCAGTTGGTGTGTGTGACGTCAGTTGGTATGTTTGACATCAGTTGGTGTGTGTGACGTCAGTTGGTATGTGTCACGTCAGTTGGTATGTGTGACGTCAGTTGGTATGTCCGACGTCAGTTGGTGTGTGTGACGTCAGTTGGTATGTGTGACGTCAGTTGGTATGTGTGAGGTCAGTTTGTGTGTGACGTCAGTTGGTATGCGTGACGTCAGTTGGTGTGTGTGACGTCAGTTGGTATGTTTGACGTCAGTTGGTATGTGTGACTTCAGTTGGTGTGTGTGACGTCAGTGTGTGTGTGTTATGTCAGTTGGTGTGTGTGACGTCAGTTGGTATCTGTGACGTCAGTTAGTATGTGTGACGTCAGGTGGTATGTGTGACATCAGTTGGTATGAGTGACGTCAGTTGGTATGTGTGACGTCGGTTGGTTGGTATGTGTGGGGTCAATTGGTTGGTATGTGTGACGTCAGTTGGTATGTGTGACGTCAGTTGGTATGCGTGACGTCAGTTGGTGTGTGTGACGTCAGTTGGTGTGTGTGATGTCAGTTGGTATGTCCGACGTCAGTTGGTATGTGTGAGGTCAGTTGGTATGTGTGAGGTCAGTTTGTGTGTGACGTCAGTTGGTATGCGTGACGTCAGTTGGTGTGTGTGACGTCAGTTGGTATGTGTGAGGTCAGTTGGTATGTCCGACGTCAGTTGGTATGTGTGAGGTCAGTTGGTATGTGTGAGGTCAGTTTGTGTGTGACGTCAGTTGGTATGCGTGACGTCAGTTGGTGTGTGTGGTATGTCCGATGTCAGTTGGTATGTGTACGTCAGTTGTATGGTATGTGTGAGGTCAGTTGGTATGTGTGACGTCAGTGGTATGTGTCAGTTGGTACGTCAGTTGGTATGTGTGACGTCGTTGGTTGGTATGTGTGGGGTCAATTGGTTGGTATGTGTGACGTCAGTTGGTATGTGTGACGTCAGTTGGTATGTGTGATGTCAGTTGGTATGTCCGACGTCAGTTGGTATGTGTGACGTCAGTTGGTATGTCCGACGTCAGTTGGTATGTGTGACGTCAGTTGGTATGTGTGAGGTCAGTTTGTGTGTGACGTCAGTTGGTATGCGTGACGTCAGTTGGTGTGTGTGACGTCAGTTGGTATGTGTGAGGTCAGTTGGTATGTCCGATGTCAGTTGGTATGTGTGACGTCAGTTGGTATGTGTGAGGTCAGTTTGTGTGTGACGTCAGTTGGTATGCGTGACGTCAGTTGGTGTGTGTGACGTCAGTTGGTGTGTGTGATGTCAGTTGGTATGTCCGACGTCAGTTGGTATGTGTGAGGTCAGTTTGTGTGTGACGTCAGTTGGTATGCGTGACGTCAGTTGGTGTGTGTGACGTCAGTTGGTGTGTGGTGACGTCAGTTGGTATGTGTGACGTCAGTTGGTATGTGTGACTTCAGTTGGTGTGTGTGACGTCAGTTGGTGTGTGTGACGTCAGTTGGTGTGTGTGACGTCAGTTGGTGTGTGTGACGTCAGTTGGTGTGTGTGACGTCAGTTGGTATGTGTGAGGTCAGTTGGTGTGTGTGACGTCAGTTGGTATGTGTGACGTCAGTTGGTATGTTTGACGTCAGTTGGTGTGTGTGACGTCAGTTGGTGTGTGTGACGTCAGTTGGTATGTGTGACTTCAGTTGGTGTGTGTGACGTCAGTTGGTGTGTGTGACGTCAGTTGGTGTGTGTGACGTCAGTTGGTGTGTGTGACGTCAGTTGGTGTGTGTGACCGATCCAAGTCTTAAGGTGCTTTCAGACCAAACGCTTCAAAACGCTTTTGTCGCGTGTTGTTTGACGCTGGGTCTGGTGTGAACGCCCCTTGGTGCTTGAAGCTCCTGACGTACTTGACTTGACTGACGCCGGGTGGGAGGAGCTTCTCTGTTGCCGGCAGTCAAGACAACTGTCAATTTCCAGAGAGCAGCGAGCCTTTATTTGCTATATAAATCAAAACAACTTTGTCGTGGGGTTTCTACAAAAAGTTTTCTGGGTTCACCACAGACTTGAGGCTGCAGTGTTACCTGAGTTTCACCGTTTACTTCAGGAGCTGCGTACGGATGAGTTTCGCTTTCAGCGGTACTTCGCATGTCACTCGCCCAGGACGAGTACCCGCACCCCGCCTCGCCCCTGCCTGGAGCTCGCATTGTTTCGCCTCGCTCCCGCCTGGAGCTTGCATCGCTCCCGCCTGGAGCTCGCATCGTTTTGCCCTCGTCCTGCCAGCTTGCATCGTTCGCCTCGCTCCTGCCTGGAGCTCAGCATCGCTCGCCTCGCCCCTGCCTGGAGCTCGCATCGCTCGCCTCGCCCCTGCCTGGAGCTCGCATCGTTCGCCTCGCTCCCGCCTGGAGCTCGCATCGCTCGCCTCGCTCCTGCCTGGAGCTTGCATCGTTCGCCTCGCTCCCGCCTGGAGCTCGCCTCGCTCCTGCCCGGAGCTTGCATCGATTCCCGCGGAGAAGCAACTGTTATCAGTCTACTGTGTCTGAGCCAGACTCAGCGTCAGCTTGTTCTTGTATTAAATAAATTACGTTTACTTCACAGCATGTGTACGTTGATTGTGTTACTCACTTACTAAGAATGTTACGACTCATACAAATAAAATTACTAATAACAATTATGACAATAAAACAGCAGCAGCAGCAACAGCACCAGCTATATGACTTCTTTCCATGACAGACCCGCAGCTGCTGCTGCTGCTCCTCGTCTCCTGATTGGTTGAAGCCCGGCGTCAAGCTCAAAAAGCTCAGCATTTCTTAACTTCGGCGACAAGGGATTTTTTTTATGCCAAAAGAGACGCGAGCGTTACGCTCGTCAAAAGCTTCAAGTGAAGCGCGTTATGCTTGCGTTTTTTGAAGCTTTTGACGCGGGTCAAGTGACGCCGGGGCTCTCAGTGTAACCTGATGCACCTCACCATTCACTTTCAATGCAAACCTGACGCTTTTGAAGTCGAAATTGAGTCCGGTGTGAAAGCAGCTTAACACACGCCCCAGTAGCAGGTTGCAGTATTCTGGCGACATATAGTGGATTAATATTAAATTACATCAGTTGACCGTCACTTCTGCTGAGATAATCCAGTGGTTTAAGGTTCAGGTGTGTAGCTCCACAATTATCTTAGTGTGTGAACAAGGGAATGAGACTTACTGGTGTGTTAACTATTGCTTTAAGCAGCAATGACAACTGTCTGTTTTTGTGTGTGTGAAAGGATTGATGATGATCAGGACACTTTAGCATTCTACAACATGTATGGACATTTTCTTCTGTGTGTGCTTTATATTCTTCATGTGTTTTAACTGTTGATTCTCTGACCTGTGTTGGTGATTTCAATGGTTTTGTTAAGTCTCTGAGATGACTTCTGTTGTGACCTAGGGCTATACAAGAATAAATTGTATTGTATTGTATTGTATTGTATTGTGTGACGAGCAAGCTGTCAATCACAGCCCAGACCACGCCCAGCTCTAAGCCAACAGTAAGGCTTGGCACTGGTGTTTAGTTACTTACTTTCTGGTCACTCACACAGACACATCAACACGTCACACATGGTACTTACTTTCTGGTCACTCACACAGACACATCAACACGTCACACATGGTACTTACTTTCTGGTCACTAACACAGACACATCAACACGTCACACATGGTACTTACTTTCTGGTCACTAACACAGACACATGGTACTTACTTTCTGGTCACTAACACAGACACATGGTACTTACTTTCTGGTCACTAACACAGACACATGGTACTTACTTTCTGGTCACTAACACAGACACATGGTACTTACTTTCTGGTCACTAACACAGACACATGGTACTTACTTTCTGGTCACTAACACAGACACATGGTACTTACTTTCTGGTCACTAACACAGACAGACTGATCCTTATTGTTCCTGAAGAAGTCTCTGTCGTGTTGCTGCCCGACTCAACTGGTTTGGCAGATTTCTGGTCTCTCTCTAGTCTCTCTCTAGTCCCTCTCTAGTCTCTCTCTGGTCTCTCTCTAGTCCCTCTCTCTGGTCTCTCTCTAGTCCCTCTCTCTGGTCTCTCTCTCTGCTCTCTCTCTGGTTTCTCACCAGACTCTCTGGTCTCTGTAGTCTCTCTCTAATCAGGCTCTGGTCTCTCTAAATATGGTAACAGCCTTTATCAAACCGTTTTGGTGAAGAGGGAGCAGCGTCTGCAGTCAGAGTTATATCAGACCGTTGTGGTGAAGAGGGAGCAGCGTCTGCAGTCAGAGCTGTATCAGACCGTTGTGGTAAAGAGGGAGCAGCGAAGTGTGTGTGGAGAGTGAAGTCTGGGCGTCTCTGCTCAGACTGCTGCCCCCGCCATCCCGCAACGGATGAAGCGCAAGAAAATGGATGGATGTTAAAGTCTTACTCACAGACTTTGTCCTCAGCAAATCCTCGGACAAATCTCTCTTTTGGGTTTGAAGGGAGGCTCACTGTGTTTCGCAGAGACTGCTCTCTCTCTCTTCTCTGCCTCGTCGACCTTCTGTCTCAGGCGGACCAGTTCAGATTTGTTAGAGTTTAGAGCTTCTTTCATCTCTAAGTTCTCTACTCTGAGTGACTCTACCTCAGTCTGGAGCCCACTGTGGTGTCGCTGTTTCTGTTCCAGACCAAACGCGTATTTCTCCAGAGAATCAACCTTTCCTTTAAAGATTGCAATTGTCAAACCGGAGTCCCGCGTTCTGTCCTCGAGGTCCGTCTTGTAGAACTCTAACTGTTATTTCTAAATCTGTGGCTACATTTCTATGGCACCGCTATGTGCGCAGTTCTCCGTCTCTTCTACCTTCTGTCCCTAAAAGACCGGCTCGTCCTGCTCCACCTCCCCTTTAACCTCCTGCTCTTCCTCCCCTTTAACCTCCTGCTCCACCTCCCCTTTAACCTCCTGCTCTTCCTCCCCTTTAACCTCCTCCTCCACCTCCCCTTTAACCTCCTGCTCCACCTCCCCTTTAACCTCCTGCTCCTCCTCCCCTTTAACCTCCTGCTCCACCTCCCCTTTAACCTCCTGCTCCACCTCCCCTTTAACCTCCTGCTCTTCCTCCCCTTTAACCTCCTGCTCCACCGCCCCTTTAACCTCCTGCTCTTCCTCCCCTTTAACCTCCTGCTCCTCCTCCCCTTTAACCTCCTGCTCCACCTCCCCTTTAACCTCCTGCTCCACCTCCCCTTTAACCTCCTGCTCTACGCGCTGCTCCTCCTGCAGGTGCTGGTCCTCTCTGCTCCTCCTGCAGGTGCTGGTCCTCAGGTGCTGGTCCTCTCTGCTCCTCCTGTCGGTGCTGGTCCTCTCTGCTCCTCCTGCAGGGGCTGGTCCTCTGATCCTCCTGCAGGTGCTGGTCCTCAGGTGCTGGTCCTCTCTGCTCCTCCTGCAGGGGCTGGTCCTCTGCTCCTCCTGCAGGTGCTGGTCCTCAGGTGCTGGTCCTCTCTGCTCCTCCTGCAGGTGCTGGTCCTCAGGTGCTGGTCCTCTCTGCTCCTCCTGTAGGTGCTGGTCCTCTCTGCTCCTCCTGTAGGTGCTGGTCCTCAGGTGCTGGTCCTCTCTGCTCCTCCTGCAGGTGCTGGTCCTCAGGTGCTGGTCCTCTCTGCTCCTCCTGCAGGTGCTGGTCCTCTCTGCTCCTCCTGCAGGTGCTGGTCCTGGGAACGCCTCAGGATTCCCCCAGATGAGCTGGAGGAGGTGTCTGTGGAGGGGGAAGTCTGTCTCTCAGACGGCTGCCCCCGTGACCCGGCAACGGATAAAGCGGAAGAAAAAGGATGGATTGAAAAAAAAACCCCACACTTTCTCATATATTGTTTATTCTTGTTCAAAATAAAATATTTTACACAGAGGCTTTTGGAAAATCTGAGATTGAAACATTTGGTACAAGATGGAGCTGCAGCAGAAACACATTTTCACAGGGTTTTGTACCAGAAAATATGAGTTTTAGGTTTTTTTACAGCAAAGAACATGAAACTTCCTCGTTCTATCGAAAAAAAATTATATTCAAAAACAAGAGAAATGCTGTTAATCTCAAGTAATGAATGTGTATTTCAAGAAGACATAATGGCTGCAAGTTAGCAATCAGCGTCTTTTTTTCCCTTTGAGCAAAAATGACTGCAGGTAGAGTAGGTCCATGTCTCTGGAGGATCTTTGGGTTGAGGTTCCTCGGGAGAAGTACATTCAGAAACAACAAGAACTTCTAGATAAGCTAATGTTATGCTAACATTATGCTAGCAGCCTTATGTTTCCTGTTATATGCTAAGCTCATGTCAACAATTCAAATGAGAGGTTTTGTAGAAGTAGTAGTTGAGTTATAGAATAAATAATGAAGCAGATGTAGCTTGTTCATAGTTAGCTTTAGCTTTAGCGTCTCCTTTAACCACAGATAAAACACATTCACACAAACGTCACCACCAAATTCCACATAAAAGTCTTTGGTAACACTTTAGCTTAGCCCTGACTAACAGCTAATTCAGTGCTAACCAGTGTACGCTAACGCTAACCCACATGGTAAAGTGTCAGTTAGTTACATGTAGACTAATAAGTGCTTGATAAAAACCATAAATTCTACACTTCTTAGCACTTGATTAGTGAGGGGTAAACTAGAGTGAGACAAAGTAATTTCACTTAAAACTAAAGCTTGTGATTATAAAAAACTGAAAACGTTTTTTGTTGTTTGCGGACGTCCAAAGCCGGTCTGTGATTGGCTGACGCTCTTTGGGGAAAAACAAGATGTCGGATAAACGTATCAAAAATGTTAAATCCATGAGAATCAATCCAGATCCTGTTAAAATGACTTCATGTTTATATGTTATAGTTTGTCCTAATGTTGTGACATCACCACACCTTGATGCTAATGTCCTTATATGGGCATTTGGAATACACTCATTCTAACTGGTGTGTCACATGTAGAAGCAGGAAGTACCCGTCTTGCCTCCATTTTCCAAATATCCCAAGTTCCTCGTTGGCCCAACGCTGGAGGCGTCTGAATTCTGTACAACAAAAATAACATTTACACAACGTATTTACAAACCCTGAGACGGCCACGGATTGTCTTCAAGCTTTCCCTTGGTAGAAAGAAGATCGGGCCATAATTCCACGCGCTTCCAGACGCTTTAGTGCAGGTGTCTCTTTCAAAATAAAAGCCTCCGGAAGCAAACGTATGTACAAGTCTGTTCAAAGTCTGTTAAAGCTCGGGTACGCAACTTTCAAAACACAATCAAATCTGGCACTTTTTTTAGATTCACTTTATCAAGGAAAAGTGAAAAAGAGCGGACCAACCAGAGAGCGAGTCCAGGGAGAGTCCGGAGAGAGAGTCCAGAGAGAGTCCGGAGAGAGAGTCCAGGGAGAGTCCTGAGAGAGAGTCCAGAGAGAGAGAGACTGTTGAGGGAAAGGAGAAAAAGACCAGGGAGAGAGAGATTTGAAAGAGACCAAAACGAGCTAGGATAGAGATCAGAGAGAGAGCATTTTGTGGGCTGGTTTAATCACAATATTTTTCTTTTACTCTTTCTGTAAGTGTTTTATGTGTAGATAAAGAAAGTTACGTATCTCAGCTTTAATATACTGTGGTTTCTGTGTTGTTGGTTTGACGGTCGTCTTCTGTCTCTGCATCCACCTCAGAGGCTGCTGCTCCAGGCCTCTAGAGGGCGCTGTTCTTACTGGAGGGGGGCTTTGGGGGACTAGAGAGAGACCAGAGAGGGACCAGAGAGAGAGAGACCAGGGAGAGAAATCAGAGGGAGAGACTAGGGAGAGACCAGAGAGAGACCATAGAGAGACCAGAGAACGAGACCAGAGCGAGATAAGAGAGAGACCAGAGAGAGACCAGAGATAGAGACCAGAGAGAGACCAGAGAGAGAGCAGAGAAAGACCAGAGAGAGACCAGAGAGAGACCAGAGAACGAGACCAGAGCGAGATAAGAGAGAGACCAGAGAGAGACCAGAGAGAGACCAGAGAGAGACCAGTTTTTTCTTTACAATCACGTGTCTGGCGCTGTCCTCCTGGGGACAGGGGGCGGGGCTATCTGGGGGAGAGGGGGGTGAAGGCTGCAGAGTTGTGGGGGGAGCCAAAGGGGGAGGTGGGGGAGAGACGGCGGGGGCTGGAGAGGAGGTCCCCGTTATGAAGCTTCCACAGCAGCTCCTCGTTCTCCATGGACAGACGCTTGTTCACCTTGGACTCTTTCTGCAGAGTCTGCTGTAGGATGGCCTGCTCGCTGGACAGCTGCCTGCAGGGGGCGACACACACACACAGAGAGACACACACACACACACACACACACAGAGAGAGAAAGAGAGTGTGAGGAGAGGACAGTGTGTGACATCACCACAGGGTTAGCATTTGTGCAGAAGAAGGAGATTTTAATATAAGCTGGAGCCTGTTTTTTAATGTGGACATTTGTTTTGCAACTCAGGAAGAGAGAGGAGAGAGAGAGGAGAGAGGAGGAGAGAGAGGAGAGAGAGGAGAGAGAGGAGAGAGAGGAGAGAGGAGGAGAGGAGAGAGAGGAGAGAGAGGAGAGAGGAGAGAGGAGGAGAGAGAGGAGAGAGAGGAGAGAGAGGAGGAGGAGAGAGGAGAGAGAGGAGGAGAGAGAGGAGAGAGGAGGAGAGAGAGAGGAGAGAGAGGGGAGAGAGAGGAGAGAGGGGAGAGAGAGGAGAGAGAGGGGAGAGAGAGGAGAGAGAGGAGAGAGGAGGAGAGAGAGGGGAGAGAGAGGAGAGAGAGGAGAGAGAGAGGAGAGAGAGGGGAGAGAGAGGAGAGAGGGGAGAGAGAGGAGAGAGAGGAGAGAGAGAGGAGAGAGGAGGAGAGAGAGGGGAGAGAGAGGAGAGAGAGGAGAGAGAGAGGAGAGAGAGGAGAGAGGGGAGAGAGCAGAGAGAGGAGGAGCCAGTCTGTACAGATGTGTAATGTTAGATCTTACTTAGAGAGAGCTGCGTGTCGGTCCATCCGTGCTCTGAAGTCCTCGTTCTCCTGCTGCACCTTCTTCATACACTCCTCCAGTTTACTGTGAGACTCCACCTACAGGCCACACAGCAGAATGCACTCACTACACACTGTGAGACTCCACCTACAGGCCACACAGCAGAATGCACTCACTACACACTGTGAGACTCCCCCTACAGGCCACACAGCAGAATGCACTCACTACACACTGTGAGACTCCACCTACAGGCCACACAGCAGAATGCACTCACTACACACTGTGAGACTCCCCCTACAGGCCACACAGCAGAATGCACTCACTACACACTGTGAGACTCCACCTACAGGCCACACAGCAGAATGCACTCACTACACACTGTGAGACTCCACCTACAGGCCACACAGCAGAATGCACTCACTACACACTGTGAGACTCCCCCTACAGGCCACAGAGCAGAATGCACTCACTACACACTGTGAGACTCCACCTACAGGCCACACAGCAGAATGCACTCACTACACACTGTGAGACTCCACCTACAGGCCACACAGCAGAATGCACTCACTACACACTGTGAGACTCCACCTACAGGCCACAGAGCAGAATGCACTCACTACACACTGTGAGACTCCACCTACAGGCCACACAGCAGAATGCACTCACTACACACTGTGAGACTCCACCTACAGGCCACAGAGCAGAATGCACTCACTACACACTGTGAGACTCCACCTACAGGCCACACAGCAGAATGCACTCACTACACACTGTGAGACTCCACCTACAGGCCACACAGCAGAATGCACTCACTACACACTGTTAGACTCCCCCTACAGGCCACACAGCAGAATGCACTCACTACACACTGTTAGACTCCCCATACAGGCCACAGAGCAGAATGCACTCACTACACACTGTGAGACTCCACCTACAGGCCACACAGCAGAATGCACTCACTACACACTGTGAGACTCCACCTACAGGCCACACAGCAGAATGCACTCACTACACACTGTTAGACTCCCTCTACAGGCCTGTCCAGTCCTGGACTTGGACTGGTCTTGGACTGGTCCTGGACTGGTCCTGGACTGGTCTTGGACTGATCCTGGTCCAATTTGGTTTTCCATCAGAGGAGAGCGAGTGCCGGTTACCATAGCAACTCATTGTTTACTGTCAGCGGTTAGCATTAGCCTTTAGCATTAGCTTTTCAACAAACTGTTTTTGCTACATTTCAAGTTGCAGTCACCAGTTTAGCACTTCTTAAAAGTACATGAAGATAAAACTTCTGTCCGTTCAACATCTGTGTAAAGTCCTACAAACTGCTGCTTTGGTTGAGGGCGATAAACAAATAAATATGACTGAATGTTTGCAGGTACCAGTTTGTCCAGGTCCATGAGCTTCTTGTCTTTCTGGTGCAGCTGGTTGTTCTTTATCTCCAACACCACTTTGAGGCTCTCCAGCTCCTGCTCCAGGTACAGAGTGTGCGAATCCTTCTGCAAACACAAGCTCAGATTCAGACCGTGTTGTCTGGATCCGTCAGGTCTCTCTGGTCTCTCTCTGGTTTCTCTCTGGTCTTTTTTTGGTCTCTCTATGGTCTCTCTATGGTCTCTCTGGTCTCTCTCTGGTCTCTCTCTGGTCTCTCTCTCTGGTCTCTCTCTGGTCTCTCTCTGGTCTCTCTCTGGTCTCTCTCTGGTCTCCCTCTCTGGTCTCTCTCTGGTCTCTCTCTCTGGTCTCTCTCTCTGGTCTCTCTCTGGTCTCTCTCTGGTCTCTCTCTGGTCTCCCTCTCTGGTCTCCCTCTCTGGTCTCTCTCTGGTTTCTCTCTGGTCTTTTTTTGGTCTCTCTATGGTCTCTCTGGTCTCTCTCTGGTCTCTCTCTCTGGTCTCTCTCTCTGGTCTCTCTCTGGTCTCTCTCTGGTCTCTCTCTGGTCTCTCTCTCTGGTCTCTCTCTCTGGTCTCTCTCTCTGGTCTCTCTCTGGTCTCTCTCTGGTTTCTCTCTGGTTTCTCTCTGATCTCTCTCTGGTCTCTCTCTGGTCTCTCTCTCTGGTTTCTCTCTCTCTGGTCTCTCTCTGGTCTCTCTCTCTGGTCTCTCTCTGGTCTCTCTCTGGTCTCTTTCTGGTCTCTCTCTCTGGTCTCTCTCTCTGGTCTCTCTCTCTCTCTCTCTGGTCTCTCTCTTTGGTCTCTCTCTGGTCTCTCTCTCTCTGGTCTCTCTCTATGGTCTCTCTCTCTGGTCTCTCTCTCTCTGGTCTCTCTCTCTCTGGTCTATAAAATCCTCCTTTGTGAAAGCTATAGTTCTGTCTCTGAGGACGATCTGTTTGAGTGACAGTGAGGTCTGTGTCCACCAGCGGGCGCAGTACCATGGGAGGCCTGTGTGTGTGTGTCCACCAGCGGGCGCAGTACCATGGGAGGCCTGTGTGTGTGTGTCCACCAGCGGGCGCAGTACCATGGGAGGCCTGTGTGTGTGTGTGTGTGTGTGTGTGTCCACCAGGGGGCGCAGTACCATGGGAGGCCTGTGTGTGTGTGTGTGTCCACCAGGGGGCGCAGTACCAGGCTCTTGTCGTTGAGGATCCTCGTCCTTCGTTCTTCTTCTGTTCTCAGCTTTTCAGTCAAAGTCTCGTTCTGCTCTGACAGCTCCAACACTTTCTCCTGGAGCACAACAAGTTTATTTCAATACACTGAGGAGGAGGGGGAGGAGGAGGAGGAGGGGAGAGAGAGAGAGAGAGAGAGAGAGAGAGAGAGAGAGAGAGAGGAGAGAGAGGGAGGAGGAGGGGAAAGAAGGAGGAGAAGGATGAGGGGAGAGAGAGGAGGAGGAGGGGAGAGGAGGAGAGAGCAGAGGAGGAGGAGGAGGAGAGAGGAGGTGAGAGGAGAGAGGAGGAGAGAGGGGGAGAGAGGAGAGAGGAGGGGAGAGGGGGAGAGAGAGAGAGGAGGAGGAGGAGAGAGAGGAGGGGGAGAGAGAGAGAGAGGAGGAGGGGAGAGAGAGAGGAGATAAAGAAGGAGGAGAAGGATGGGGGGAGAGAGGAGGAGGATGGGAGAGGAGGAGAGAGGAGGAGAGGAGGAGAGAGGGGGAGAGAGGGGGAGAGAGAGAGAGGAGGAGGAGGAGAGAGAGGAGGAAGAGGAGAATCTCACCGTGAGCGAAGCCTCCGTCTCCTTCAGGTTTTTCTGCGTGTTTTCCAGCTCCTTCTGCTGCGCCTCCTTCAGCTCTGAAACACATAAGTTTGTCTTTAAACATGTACAATAGAGAGAGAGTACAGAGAGAGTACAGAGAGAGTGAGAGTACAGAGAGAGTACAGTGAGAGTACAGAGAGAGTACAGAGAGAGTACAGTGAGAGTACAGAGAGAGTACAGTGAGAGTACAGAGAGAGTACAGAGAGAGTACAGTGAGAGTACAGTGAGAGTACAGAGAGAGTACAGAGAGAGTACAGTGAGAGTACAGTGAGAGTACAGAGAGAGTACAGAGAGTACAGAGAGAGTACAGAGAGAGTACAGTGAGAGTACAGAGAGAGTACAGAGAGAGTACAGTGAGAGTACAGTGAGAGTACAGAGAGAGTACAGAGAGAGTACAGAGAGAGTACAGAGAGAGTACAGAGAGAGTACAGTGAGAGTACAGAGAGAGTACAGAGAGAGTACAGTGAGAGTACAGAGAGAGTACAGTGAGAGTACAGTGAGAGTACAGTGAGAGTACAGAGAGAGTACAGAGAGAGTACAGAGAGAGTACAGAGAGAGTACAGAGTACAGAGAGAGTACAGAGAGAGTACAGTCAGAGTACAGTGAGAGTACAGAGATAGTATAGTGAGAGTACCTTGCAGAGCTCTCTCCTGCTGCTCCTTCAGGACCTCCACGTTCTGAGAGTGAGTCTCCTCCTGCTCCTTCATCTGCGCCTCCTGTCGACTCCTCAGCTCCTGCACCTGGAACACAAACAACAGTTGTACCTGTGCTCTCTCTGCTCTCTCTCTGGTCTCTCTCTCTGGTCTCTCTATGGTCTCTCTCTCTGGTCTCTCTCTCTGGTCTCTCTATGGTCTCTCTCTAGTCTCTCTCTCTGGTCTCTCTCTGGTCTCTCTGGTCTCTCTCTCTGGTCTCTCTCTCTGGTCTCTCTCTCTAGTCTCTCTCTCTGGTCTCTCTCTCTGGTCTCTCTCTGGTCTCTCTCTCTGGTCTCTCTCTGGTCTCTCTCTCTCTCTGGTCTCTCTCTCTGGTCTCTCTCTGGTCTCTCTCTGGTCTCTCTCTGGTCTCTCTCTGGTCTCTCTCTCTGGTCTCTCTATGGTCTCTCTCTGGTCTCTCTCTCTCTGGTCTCTCTCTGGTCTCTCTCTCTGGTCTCTCTCTGGTCTCTCTCTGGTCTCTCTCTGGTCTCTCTCTGGTCTCTCTCTGGTCTCTCTCTAGTCTCTCTCTGGTCTCTCTCTGGTCTCTCTCTGGTCTCTCTCTAGTCTCTCTCTCTGGTCTCTTTATGGCAGGGGTGCTCACACTTTTTCAGCATGCGAGCTACTTATAAAATGATCAAGTCAAAATGATCTACCTACTACAAAATGTGATCTTAAAATTTGATTCTAAAAATATATGTTTTTTTAAAATATCTACAATGTATGTTGATGTACATGCAAAACCGCATGATTTCTGAAATAATTGGCATCCACATATAACCGAACATCTGCGTTTTCAATGACATTCATAACATTCCAATCATGTGCGTCTCTCACGTCCTGCGTCGGGAAAAACACAGAAGTGGGCGGAGCTTAGATACAGATGCCGGTGCTTCTGTAGCGGCACTTACAGTCGTAGTAGAAACTCAGGGTAAAGACATATTATTATAGATCCACGGTGAAGACATATGTTTACAAGCACTGACCCCCGTCCTCAGTCCTGGTTTGATCCTGGTTTGATCCTGGTTTGATCCTGGTTTGATCCTGGTTTAGCTCCTGTTTTGGTTGTTTTCGAGCGTGCCTGATCCATTTGCTGCTCTCTGAACCGCTGCAGCAGTAAGATCCATGCTTCAGTGATCAGAGGTCGCACGTTTTGTTTGTTGTTGTTGTTTTGGGGGCAAACTGTGGCGTGCAAAAACGCAAAACTCCGGTTATCTCTGTCTACACGCAAATACATAAACAGAGTTTTTTTTATTTTTTTTTATGTAATGCGATCTACCAATACGACCTTTGCAATCGACTGGTAGATCGCGATCGACGTATTGAGCACCCCTGCTCTATGGTCTTTCTCTGGTCTCTCTCTGGTCTCTCTCTCTGGTCTCACTCTGGTCTCACTCTGGTCTCACTCTGGTCTGTCACTCTGGTCTCTCTCTCTGGTCTCTCTCTGGTCTCTCTCTGTAGTCTCTGTCTCTCTGGTCTCACTCTGGTCTCTGGTCTCACTCTGGTCTGTCACTCTGGTCTCTCTCTCTGGTCTCTCTCTAGTCTCTCTCTGTAGTCTCTGTCTCTCTGGTCTCTGGTCTCACTCTGGTCTGTCACTCTGGTCTCTCCCTCTGGTCTCTCTCTGTAGTCTCTCTCTCTCTGGTCTCTGGTCTCACTCTGGTCTGTCACTCTGGTCTCTCCCTCTGGTCTCTCTCTGGTCTCTCTCTGGTCTCACTCTGGTCTCACTCTGGTCTCACTCTGGTCTCACTCTGGTCTCACTCTGGTCTCACTCTGGTCTGTCACTCTGGTCTCTCTCTGGTCTCTCTCTGGTCTCTCTCTGGTCTCTCTCTCTGGTCTCTCTCTAGTCTCTCTCTGTAGTCTCTGTCTCTCTGGTCTCTCTCTGGTCTCTGGTCTCACTCTGGTCTGTCACTCTGGTCTCTCCCTCTGGTCTCTCTCTGGTCTCTCTCTGGTCTCTCTCTAGTCTCTCTCTAGTCTCTCTCTGTAGTCTCTGTCTCTCTGGTCTCTCTCTGGTCTCTGGTCTCACTCTGGTCTGTCACTCTGGTCTCTCTATGGTCTCTCTCTGGTCTCTCTCTGGTCTCTCTCTGGTCTCTCTCTGTAGTCTCTGTCTCTCTGGTCTCTCTCTCTAGACTCTCTCTGGTCTCTGGTCTCACCTGGTTCTCCATGAGGGCTCTGTACTTGTCTGCCTCCTCCTGGTACATCTGCTGGGCCTTGTCCCACTCGCTCTGGTAGAAGCTCCGCAGCCTGGACTCAGAACATGGACCATCTGTATCTGTCTCTATTATGACATCAGCTGTAGTCTGTTCATTGCTATACACCCTATGTCCCATAGTCTGTTCTATGGCGTGATGATGGGACCCAGGACCCAGGTCTACAGCCTCAGTCCTGGGTCTACAGTCGCAGTCCTGGGTCTACGGTCTAAGTCCTAGGTCTACGGTCTCAGTCCTGGGTCTACAGTCTCAGTCCTGGGTCTACAGTCTCAGTCCTGGGTCTACAGTCTCAGTCCTGGGTCTAAAGCCTCAGTCCTAGGTCTAAAGCCTCAGTCCTGGATCTGCAGTCTCAGTCCTGGATCTGCAGTCTCAGTCCTGGGTCTACAGTCTCAGTCCTGGGTCTGCAGTCTCAGTCCTGGGTCTACAGTCTCAGTCCTGGGTCTACAGTCTCAGTCCTGGGTCTACAGTCTCAGTCCTGGGTCTAGAGTCTCAGTCCTGAGTCTACAGCCTCAGTCCTAGGTCTAAAGCCTCAGTCCTGGGTCTACAGTCTCAGTCCTGGGTCTACAGTCTCAGTCCTGGATCTACAGTCTCAGTCCTGGATCTACAGTCTCAGTCCTGGATCTACAGCCTCAGTCCTGGGTCTACAGTCTCAGTCCTGGGTCTACAGCCTCAGTCCTGGGTCTACAGCCTCAGTCCTGGATCTAAAGCCTCGGTCCTGGATCTGCAGTCTCACTCCTGGGTCTAAAGCCTCAGTCCTGGGTCTAAAGCCTCAGTCCTGGGTCTACAGCCTCCTGAATCTTAAATCTGGGACTGGGACAGCAGTAAAGTCAGAGAGGTGCAGAGAGAGCTCACCTGTCCTCCAGCAGCAGGAGTTCCTCCGTGTGCTGCTGCTGGAGCTTCCTCAGAGCCTCCTCCAGACCCACTCTCACCTCGTCCTTCTCCTGCTGCAGCTGGTCACAGCACTGCGACGTCGACACTGCACAAAAACAAAACAGTCACCACTACGCAACCAGAGAGAGACCAGAGGAAGACCAGAGAGAGGCCAGAGAGATACCAGAGAGAGACCAGAGAGAGACCAGAGGGAGACGAGAGAGAGACCAGAGAGAGACCAGAGAGAGGCCAGAGGGAGACGAGAGAGAGACCAGAGAGAGACCAGAGAGATACCAGAGAGAGACCAGAGAGAGACCAGAGGGAGACGAGAGAGAGACCAGAGAGAGACCAGAGAGAGGCCAGAGAGATACCAGAGAGAGACCAGAGAGAGACCAGAGAGAGACCAGAGGGAGACGAGAGAGAGACCAGAGAGAGACCAGAGGGAGACCAGAGAGAGACCAGAGAGACCAGAGAGAGACCAGAGAGAGACCAGAGAGAGAGACCAGAGATACAAGAGAGAGACCAGAGAGAGACCAGAGAGAGACCAGAGGGAGACGAGAGAGAGACCAGAGAGAGACCAGAGGGAGACCAGAGAGAGACCAGAGAGACCAGAGAGAGACCAGAGAGAGAGACCAGAGGGACCAGAGAGAGACCAGAGGGAGACCATAGAGAGACCAGAGAGAGAGAGACCAGAGGGACCAGAGAGAGACCAGAGAGAGGCCAGAGGGACCAGAGAGAGACCAGAGGGAGACAAGAGAGAGACCAGAGAGAGACCAGAGGGAGACCAGAGAGAGACCAGAGGGCCCAGAGAGAGACCAGAGAGAGGCCAGAGGGACCAGAGAAAGACCAGAGGGAGACGAGAGAGAGACCAGAGAGAGACCAGAGAGAGACCAGAGAGAGATCAGAGAGAGACCAGAGGGAGATTAGAGAGACCACAGGGAGACCAGAGAGAGACCAGAGAGAGACCAGAGAGAGACCAGAGGGAGATGAGAGAGACCAGAGGGAGACCAGAGAGAGGCCAGAGGGAGACCAGAGAGATGCCAGAGGGACCAGAGAGAGACCAGAGAGACCAGAGAGAGACCAGAGAGAGACCAGAGAGAGACATATCTGTGTATAGAAAAGGTGTAAAAATAGCAAGGTTTCTACTGCCATCTACTGGTGCGAGTGAGAATTACAGCCAAGTTACTCCAAGTCGCCTCTGTCTATTCCATTCAATCCAGTTTATTTTGTATCGCCCTAAATCACAACAGTAGTTTTCTCTGAGGACTGTTCAAAGCTGTCGATTCTCCAACACAGATCAGAAAATCAATCCTGGTGTGACCATTGTTCAGACTTCAGTTTTCAGTGAAGCGTGTGGTTCGAGTCATGTTTATTTGACACTTATACGACCAGACACTGGAGGCAGACAGAGTGGACTATCAAGGACCTGCGAGCCAAACCTGTCTCCCCCTCTCCCCCCTCTCCCCCCTTCCTCTCCTCTGCTCTTCTCTTCTCCCCATCTCCCCCTAATATTATCAAGGCTGTCGCTCTCCTTCCCATCCCTCCTGACTCTAAGCTCTCTCCCCTTCTCTCTCTGCTCTCCCCCTAATATTATTAATTCTGTTTCTCTTCCCTCTCTCCCCTCCCGTCCTAATGTGGTCTCTCTCCTCTCCCGTCCTAATGTGGTCTCTCTCCTCTCTCCCCTCCCGTCCTAATGTGGTCTCTCTCCCCTCTCCCCTCCCGTCCTAATGTGGTCTCTCTCCTCTCTCCTCTCTCGTCCTAATGTGGCCTCTCTCCTCTCTCCCCTCCCTTCCTAATGTGGTCTCTCTCCTCTCTCCCCTCCCTCCCTAATGTGGTCTCTCTCCTCTCTCCCCTCCCTTCCTAATGTGGTCTCTCTCCTCTCTCCCCTCCCGTCCTAATGTGGTCTCTCTCCTCTCTCCCCTCCCGTCCTAATGTGGTCTCTCTCCTCTCTCCCCTCCCGTCCTAATGTGGCCTCTCTCCTCTCTCCCCTCCCTTCCTAATGTGGTCTCTCTCCTCTCTCCCCTCCCTCCCTAATGTGGTCTCTCTCCTCTCTCCCCTCCCGTCCTAATGTGGTCTCTCTCCTCTCTCCCCTCCCTCCCTAATGTGGTCTCTCTCCTCTCTCCCCTCCCTTCCTAATGTGGTCTCTCTCCTCTCTCCCCTCCCGTCCTAATGTGGTCTCTCTCCTCTCTCCCCTCCCGTCCTAATGTGGTCTCTCTCCTCTCTCCCCTCCCGTCCTAATGTGGTCTCTCTCCTCTCTCCCCTCCCGTCCTAATGTGGTCTCTCTCCTCTCTCCCCTCCCGTCCTAATGTGGTCTCTCTCCTCTCTCCCCTCCCGTCCTAATGTGGTCTCTCTTCTCTCTCCCCTCCCTTCCTAATGTGGTCTCTCTCCTCTCTCCCCTCCCGTCCTAATGTGGGCTCTCTCCTCTCTCCCCTCCCTCCCTAATGTGGTCTCTCTCCTCTCTCCCCTCCCGTCCTAATGTGGTCTCTCTCCTCTCTCCCCTCCCGTCCTAATGTGGTCTCTCTCCTCTCTCCCCTCCCGTCCTAATGTGGGCTCTCTCCTCTCTCCCCTCCCTCCCTAATGTGGTCTCTCTCCTCTCTCCCCTCCCTCCCTAATGTGGTCTCTCTCCTCTCTCCCCTCCCGTCCTAATGTGGTCTCTCTCCTCTCTCCCCTCCCTTCCTAATGTGGTCTCTCTCCTCTCTCCCTCCCTCCCTAATGTGGTCTCTCTCCTCCCTCCCGTCCTAATGTGGTCTCTCTCCTCTCTCCCTCCCTCCCTAATGTGGTCTCTCTCCTCTCTCCCCTCCCGTCCTAATGTGGTCTCTCTCCTCTCTCCCCTCCCTCCCTAATGTGGTCTCTCTCCTCTCTCCCCTCCCTCCCTAATGTGGTCTCTCTCCTCTCTCCCCTCCCTCCCTAATGTTCTCTCTCCCTCCCCTCCCTCCTAATGTGGTCTCTCTCCTCTCTCCCCTCCCTCCCTAATGTGGTCTCTCTCCTCTCTCCCCTCCCTCCCTAATGTGGTCTCTCTCCTCTCTCCCCTCCCGTCCTAATGTGGTCTCTCTCCTCTCTCCCCTCCCGTCCTAATGTGGTCTCTCTCCTCTCTCCCCTCCCTCCCTAATGTGGTCTCTCTCCTCTCTCCCCTCCCTCCCTAATGTGGTCTCTCTCCTCTCTCCCCTCCCTCCCTAATCTTACTAATGTGGTCTCTCCTCTCTCTCTCTCCTCTCTCCCCCCGACATTACTAATACAGTCTCTCTCGTCCTGGTGGACTGGTGCATTCCTGTGTGATGACTTCAGAGCAGTCGGGACAGAGACGGCACACGTCGAGGCCGATTCTAACATCTGCAAAACCACATTCATCACCTGCACCAGAACCACCAGGAGGAGGGGGGAGGGCACCAGAACCACCAGGAGGAGGGGGAAGGGCACCAGAACCACCAGGAGGAGGGGGGAGGGCACCAGAACCACCAGGAGGAGGGGGAAGGGCACCAGAACCAGGAGGAGGGGGAAGGGCACCAGAACCACCAGGAGGAGGGGGAAGGGCACCAGAACCAGTCACATTTGAAAGATCAGTTTTTTAAAACAGAGGACCACCCTCTCTCAGCCAATCAGCTCTCATACCGACATACTTCCCCTTTAGAGAGAGTACACAGCAGCAGCAGTGGTTTCTCACACATATCTCATTAACTTCCACTTGTCACAGATAAAGACAGAACCATCGATGTTTTCCTTTCGGCGCCACATGGTCTGAATGTGGTTATAGTTTAACTGATATAAAAGATAAGGAGGTGTTTTTACCTCCGGAAAGAACCCCGGCTGCAGAGGTCAATTTCTAGGATTGATCCAAAAGTTTAAACACAAACTGGGAACAGAAGGAGAGAGGAAGGTGCTGAGGAGGGAACAGAAGGAGAGGGAGGTGCTGAGGAGGGAACAGAAGGAGAGGGAGGTGCTGAGGAGAGAACAGAAGGAGAGGGAGCTGTTGAGGAGCGAAGGAGAGAGGAAAATGCTGAGGAGGGAACAGAAGGAGAGGGAGGTGCTGAGGAGGGAGCAGAAGGAGAGAGGGAGGTGCTGAGGAGGGAACAGAAGGAGAGGGAGGTGCTGAGGAGGGAACAGAAGGAGAGGGAGGTGCTGAGGAGAGAACAGAAGGAGAGAGGGAGATGCTGAGGAGGGAACCGAAAGAGAGAGGGAGGTGCTGAGGAGGGAACAGAAGGGGAGAGGGAGGTGCTGAGGAGGGAGCAGAAGGAGAGAGGGAGGTGCTGAGGAGGGAAACAGAAGGAGAGGGAGGTGCTGAGGAGAGAACAGAAGGAGAGAGGGAGATGCTGAGGAGGGAACCGAAAGAGAGAGGGAGGTGCTGAGGAGGGAACAGAAGGGGAGAGGGCGGTGCTGAGGAGGGAACAGAAGGAGAGAGGGAGGTGCTGAGGAGGGAACAGAAGGAGAGAGGGAGGTGCTGAGGAGGGAACAGAAGGAGAGAGGGAGGTGCTGAGGAGCTACTGTTTAATACACATCTCTCTCATCTCCCTCTCATCTGTCTCTCGCTCATCAGAGTGCCAGCAGGAGGCCCTAGTCCCTGTGCTCCTCAAAGTCTCATCAGGAGGCCAGTCCCTGTGCTCCTCAGAGTCCCATCAGGAGGCCAGTCCCTGTGCTCCTCAGAGTCCCTCCCTGAAGCCTTCATAGTCCCCTCTCCCTCTGGTCCGTGTGCAGAGCAAGTGTAGAGCAGTTGGTAGTGAATGGAACAAAGGCGGTGACAGCTGTAGACTCAGACTCATGTTGATCCTTCATTACAAACTGAGAGACCAGAGAGTGACCAGAGAGAGACCAGAGAGAGAGCAGAGAGACCAGAGAGAGACCAGAGAGAGAGCAGAGAGACCAGAGAGAGACCAGAGAGAGAGACCAGAGAGAGACCAGAGAGACCAGAGAGACCAGAGAGACCAGAGAGAGACCAGAGAGAGACCAGAGAGACCAGAGAGAGACCAGAGAGAGAGACCAGAGAGAGACCAGAGAGAGACCAGAGAGACCAGAGAGAGACCAGAGAGAGAGACCAGAGAGACCAGAGAGAGACAAGAGAGAGACCAGAGAGACCAGAGAGAGACAAGAGAGAGACCAGAGAGAGACCAGAGAGAGACTAGAGAGAGACTAGAGAGAGAGACCAGAGAGAGAGACCAGAGAGAGACTAGAGAGAGAGACCAGAGAGAGAGACCAGCGAGAGACCAGAGAGAGACTAGAGTGGACATGACAAAGATGGGGAGCTTTGAGTTTCATGTGGATTGTTTCAGGATTTACAGAGAAACCAGCTCTAAACTCAGACCAGAATCTTACTTTTGACCCTTACCACAGTTACCATAGTTACCATGAGATATTTCTCCGCTGGCCCCCACCACGATGTGAAACTATAGACTCTTTGGGGCGTTGTGATGTCACATGAACACAACCCATTAGCTGAAAGCAAACACACTAAGATCTGCTTTTTTAACAGTCTTTGCTCAGACCACAAAGAGCCTGAGGTTTAACCAGTTTGTCAGAGCAGGATTTACAGCCCCATATTTCAGAACTCACTGAACATCAATGACAGCTGCCATCTGGTCTGTTCTGGTTCAGAAATATGTAACTCTGCTAGTTTAGACCAGAAAGAGAGAGCAAAGAGACCAGAGAGAGAACAGAGAGAGAGACCAGAGACAGTTAAAAGAGAGAGCAGAGAGAGAGACCAGAGAGAGGGACCAGAGAGAGAGACCAGAGAGAGACCAGAGAGAGACCAGAGAGAGACCAGAGAGAGAGCAGAGAGAGAGACCAGAGAGAGGGACCAGAGAGAGAGACCAGAGAGAGCGACCAGAGAGAGACCAGAGAGAGAGCAGAGAGAGAGACCAGAGACAGTTAAAAGAGAGAGCAGAGAGAGAGACCAGAGAGAGGGACCAGAGAGAGCGACCAGAGAGAGACCAGAGAGAGACCAAAGATAGACTAAAGACAGTTCAGAGAGAGACCAGAGAGAGACCAGAGACAGTTCAGAGAGAGACCAGAGAGAGAGACCAGAGAGAGATCACAGACAGTTCAGAGAGACCAGAGTGTTAATAAATATATTCTTACTTAACAGTTAGAGCGTCAGCAAAAAAACACAAAACCAGAGACAGAACCAGAGACAGAACCTGGTGCAGTGATGCTGGTGTAGGTGTGAGGTGAGAGACCTGGTTTTCTAACAGGCGTGAGGTTTGTGCGAACACCTCCGGTCGCCCATAACTCACATTCCTCTTCTGTGTGTGTGAGACCAGAGTGAGGTCAGAGAGAGACCAGAGAGAGACCAGAGAGAGACCAGAGAGAGACCAGAGAGAGACCAGAGAGAGACCAGAGAGAGACCAGAGAGAGAGACCAGAGAGACCAGAGAGAGACCAGAGAGAGACCAGAGAGAGACCAGAGAGACCAGAGAGACCAGAGAGAGACCAGAGAGACCAGAGAGAGACCAGAGAGAGACCAGAGAGAGACCAGAGAGACCAGAGAGACCAGAGAGAGACCAGAGAGAGACCAGAGAGACCAGAGAGAGACCAGAGAGACCAGAGAGAGACCAGAGAGAGACCAGAGAGACAGAAAGAATAAAGCTAACCTTAACCCTAAAGCAGGTCTAAAGCAGGACTAAAGCAGGACTAAAGCAGGTCTAAAGCAGGACTAAAGCAGGTCTAAAGCAGGACTAAAGCAGGTCTAAAGCAGGACTAAAGCAGGTCTAAAGCAGGACTAAAGCAGGACTAAAGCAGGTCTAAAGCAGGACTAAAGCAGGTCTAAAGCAGGACTAAAGCAGGTCTAAAGCAGGTCTAAAGCAGGACTAAAGCAGGTCTAAAGCAGGTCTAAAGCAGGTCTAAAGCAGGTCTAAAGCAGGTCTAAAGCAGGTCTAAAGCAGGACTAAAGCAGGTCTAAAGCAGGTCTAAAGCAGGTCTAAAGCAGGTCTAAAGCAGGTCTAAAGCAGGACTAAAGCAGGTCTAAAGCAGGACTAAAGCAGGACTAAAGCAGGACAGTGATATATCTGTCTCAGAGTCCACTCCCTGGACCAACTAAAATTACACCTTTGGTTATTTTTAATGATGACCATCTGCAGCTAGTAACGAGTGTGAAGGCTTATTCCAATACACACACACACACGCACAGACGCACACAGACACACACACAAGCACAGACACACATGCATACAGACACACACACAAGCACAGACACACACACATACAGACACACACACACACACACACACACACACACACTTGGACAGCCTATATATAATATCCTATACACCAAGTGATACAGTCTTGCTTAAAAGACTTTCTCTCTTTATCGGTGGTTGTGTGAAATCTATTCTTATCAAATAAAAATGAGGTGAGAAACTTCTCTTCTGGCCCTGAGCAGAAATCTCCATCCCCCAGGTCTCAGTAACGTGTGTTGTCCTTTAATCTTTCATCTATGAGAGTCTTCTGTGGTAGTTGTGGATCCTCTCTGGTCTCTCTCTCTGGTCTCTCCCTCTGGTCTCTCCCTCTGGTCTCTCTCTCTGGTCTCTCTCTCTGGTCTCTCTCTCTCTGGTCTCTCTCTCTGGTCTCTCTCTCTCTGGTCTCTCTCTCTCTGGTCTCTCTCTGGTCTCTCTCTCTGGTCTCTCCCTCTGGTGTCTCTCTCTGGTCTCTCTCTCTGGTCTCTCTCTCTGGTCTCTCTCTCTGGTCTCTCTCTCTGGTCTCTCTCTCTCTGGTCTCTCTCTCTGGTCTCTCTCTCTGGTCTCTCTCTCTGGTCTCTCTCTCTCTGGTCTCTCTCTCTCTGGTCTCTCTCTGGTCTCTCTCTCTGGTCTCTCTCTCTCTGGTCTCTCTCTCTCTGGTCTCTCTCTGGTCTCTCTCTCTGGTCTCTCCCTCTGGTGTCTCTCTCTGGTCTCTCTCTCTGGTCTCTCTCTCTGGTCTCTCTCTCTGGTCTTTCTAGTCTAAACCAGGACTAATCCAGGACTAAACCAGGTCTAAAGCGGGACAGGCCTGGTTTGAAGCCTTGTTATTCCTCCACATATTTGAGCTTCTGTGTCTCGTCTGTGTAAAAACACATTAATCCTGTACATTCAGCGCTGACAGAGAAATGGCACAACTCCAACTCCAACTCTAACCCTAAAGCTTCAATAGTGAAAATCATTTTAACCTGAGACTCAACTGTTCGGAGCCGCTGTAATTACACATGTTTGCAATTTGAAACTAGAAATCTACACTGACTTGTGCTTTATGTAAAGTCTGATTTACACAAAGTACAAACAAAGATTCATTATGATCATTATTACCGTAATCACATGTTCACGAATGATAACAACACCTGGGAGATCATACAGGAGAAAAACTACAGGGCCAAAGACAGATCCTTGAGGTGCTCCATTAGAGCTGCACGGAACAAGCAACAAGAGCCGAAGAACTGAAACTTTATAAGCAAATACAATAAAATATGTGAGAAAATGTGTGTTTGTGTGGAGCCAGTTTGCCCTCTCCCTCTGGTCTCCCTCTGGTCCCTCTTTCTGGTCTCTCTCTGGTCCCTCTCTCTGGTCTCTCTCTGGTCCCTCTCTCTGGTCTCACTCTGGTCCCTCTTTCTGGTCTCTCTCTGGTCTCTCTCTGGTCTCTCTCTGGTCCCTCTCTCTGGTCTCTCTCTGGTCTCTCTCTGGTCTCTCTCTGGTCCCTCTCTGGTCCCTCTCTCTGGTCTCTCTCTGGTCCCTCTCTCTGGTCTCTCTCTGGTCTCTCTGGACTCCCTTTGGTCTCTCTCTCTCTCTCTCTCTCTCTCTTTGATTTGTCTCTCTCTCTCTGGTTTGCCTATATGCTCTCTGTCTCTGCTCTCTCTCTGCTCTCACTTTCTCTCTGGTTTGTCTCTCTCGGGACTCTCTTTGGTCTCTCTCTCTCTCTGGTACTTTTTAGGTTGTTTTTTGTCTTTCTGTGCAGTGTTTTGTCTCCTGCATCAGTCCACAACTGGTTCAACACATCTACAAGTGCCCAGAACCATGTGAAAAAGAAGGATGTAGACACATGAGTCTGCAGCTCCTGAGTCAGAGACATTTGTTTAAATGGAAATGTCATCAAATGTTCAACCTGAAAACCACAGATGCAAAGTGCTAAAAACTTTATAATGTTGTGAATAATAAAGAGTTCCTGTCTGGTCTCTCTCTGGTCTCTGTCTGGTCTCTCTCTGGTCTCTCTCTGGCCTCTCTCTGGTCTCTCTCTGGTCTCTCTCTGGTCTCTCTCTGGTCTCTCTCTGGTCTCTCTCTGGTCTCTCTCTGGTCTCTCTCTGGTCTCTCTCTGGTCTCTCTCTGGTCTCTGTCTGGTCTCTGTCTGGTCTCTGTCTGGTCTCTCTCTGGTCTCTCTCTGGTCTCTCTCTGGTCTCTCTCTGGTCTCTGTCTGGTCTCTGTCTGGTCTCTCTCTGGTCTCTCTCTGGTCTCTGTCTGGTCTCTCTCTGGTCTCTCTCTGGTCTCTCTCTGGTCTCTCTCTGGTCTCTCTCTGGTCTCTCTCTGGTCTCTCTCTGGTCTCTCTGTCTGGTCTCTGTCTGGTCTCTGTCTGGTCTCTCTCTGGTCTCTGTCTGGTCTCTGTCTGGTCTCTCTCTGGTCTCTCTCTGGTCTCTCTCTGGTCTCTCTCTGGTCTCTGTCTGGTCTCTGTCTGGTCTCTGCCTGGTCTCTGTCTGGTCTCTCTCTGGTCTCTGTCTGGTCTCTGTCTGGTCTCTGCCTGGTCTCTGCCTGGTCTCTGTCTGGTCTCTCTCTGGTCTCTGTCTGGTCTCTGTCTGGTCTCTGTCTGGTCTCTCTCTGGTCTCTGTCTGGTCTCTGCCTGGTCTCTGTCTGGTCTCTCTCTGGTCTCTGTCTGGTCTCTGTCTGGTCTCTGCCTGGTCTCTGCCTGGTCTCTGTCTGGTCTCTCTCTGGTCTCTGCCTGGTCTCTGCCTGGTCTCTGTCTGGTCTCTCTCTGGTCTCTGTCTGGTCTCTGTCTGGTCTCTGTCTGGTCTCTGTCTGGTCTCTGTCTGGTCTCTGCCTGGTCTCTGTCTGGTCTCTCTCTGGTCCCTGTCTGGTCTCTCTTACCCAGTTCATTGCGGAGGCTGCTCAGCTCCTGGGACAGTTCCTTCTTCTGCTTCAAAGACTCTTCACGCTACAAAAGATAAAAAACAAAAACAATGTTAAAATCACAGAAACAGAGATACCAGCTTCAGCTCTGACTCGTGTCTCCCCCGCAGGAACTTCCCCCACAGGGCCATTTTTACAGGAACTTTTACGGCCCCAACAGAGACCCTCCTCCATGCTAGGTACTCCGTTGGGCCCTAAACAGCTCCTGGGGCTTGGGGTTAACCCGGTGCTGATTGGTTAAAGCTAGCGCAGGCTCTGCAGAAAGCACCAAAACAAAATCCAGCAGCATTAGCCTAGCAGAATTAGCCTAGCATTAGCAGCAAAATATAAAGATAAAAGACATATCAGCTTCACCTCGACGCACTGAGGATTCATCACACTCAGAAACAAGACCGTAAAAAGAACAAAAAATTAATTATTTTATTGATGACGAGGCGACATCAAAACTTGTGACGTCGCTGAAGGAAAACTGCTGCGGTGGAAACGGGACTATTCTACTGTGGGGGAAGTGTCTTGCCAAAGGACACAACAGTTTGACACTTTACAGCCGCAGCCGCCCCACTGTGGCATCTGGTGTTTCCAGAGGTCTCCCATCTACTCTACCCTACCCTACCCTACTCTACTCTTCCCAACTCTACTCTACTCTACTCTACTCTACTCTACTCTACTCTACTCTACTCTACTCTACTCTACCCTACTCTACTCTTCCCAACTCTACTCTACTCTACTCTACTCTACTCTACTCTACTCTACTCTACCCTACTCTACTCTACTCTACTCTACTCTACTCTACTCTACTCTACTCTACTCTACTCTACTCTACTCTACTCTACTCTACTCTACCCTACTCTACTCTACTCTTCCCAACTCTACTCTACTCTACTCTACTCTACTCTACTCTACCCTACCCTACTCTACTCTACTCTACTCTACTCTACTCTACTCTACCCTACTCTACTCTACTCTTCCCAACTCTACTCTACTCTACTCTACTCTACTCTACTCTACTCTACTCTACTCTACTCTACCCTACCCTACTCTACTCTACTCTACTCTACTCTACTCTACTCTACTCTACTCTACCCTACTCTACTCTACTCTACTCTACTCTACCCTACTCTACTCTACCCTACTCTACTCTACTCTACTCTACTCTACTCTACTCTACTCTACCCTACTCTACTCTACTCTACCCGACTCTACCCGACTCTACTCTACCCTACCCTACACTTCTCTACTCTACCCTACTCTACTCTACTCTACTTTACTCTACCCAACTCTACACTACTCTATCCTACTCTACTCTACTCTACCCTATCCTACACTTCTCTTCTCTACCCTACTTTACTCTACTCTACTCTCTCTGGTCTCTCTCTGGTCTCACTCTGGTCTCACTCTGGTCTCACTCTGGTCTCGGTCTCTCTCTGGCCTCTCTCTCTGGTCTCTCTCTGGTCTCTCTCTGGTCACTCTCTGGTCTCTCTCTGGTCTCCCTCTGGTCTCCCTCTGGTCTCGGTCTCTCTCTGGTCTCTCTCTCTGGTCTCTCTCTGGTCTCTCTCTGGTCTCGGTCTCTCTCTGGTCTCTCTCTCTGGTCTCTCTCTGGTCTCTCTCTGGTCTCCCTCTGGTCTCCCTCTGGTCTCCCTCTACTCTCTCTCACACATGTTTCCTAAACACAGAGTCTGTGATCTCTCGGTGACAGCTGCAGACACAAAGGTCACTCTCACTCACAACACTCACACGTGTCACGGAAGAAAACCTGCTTTTTACTCTTGCTTTCTGCAGTCGTAAACTTCCAACTGTGCCAACAGCTGTCACAGAAACACAGCAGAACTGATCCAGGACCTGTTCTCCGCTGCATCAGGGAGAGAAACCTCACACACAAAGTCTCTTCACTTCATTATTCTCTTCCAAACACAGAGAGGGTAAAATACTGTAGCCACAGCTGCCCTGGGGCACAATGACAGAAGTGAGGCAGCAAGTCTGTGCCATTGGCCCCTCCCACCATCAACATCAAAACCAGAGATATCAGAGAGACCAGAACAAGAGAGAAAACCCAGAGAGACCAGAGAGAGAGAGAGACCAGAGAGGGAGAGAGACCAGAGAAGACCAGAGAGAGACCAGTGAAAGAGACCATTGAGAGGGAGATAACAGAGAAAGAGAGACCAGAGAGAGGGAGAGACCAGAGAACCAGAGAGAGGGAGAGACCAGAAAGAGAGAGAGACCAGAGAGAGGAGGAGACCACAGAGAGGAGCCAGAGAGAGGGAGAGACCAGAGAGAGAGAGAGACAGAGACCAGGGAGTGACAAGATCTTTGGACTTGTATTCCGATGTGGTTTTACTGCAAATGGCCAATAAACTGAATCTGAAGCAGCACAGTGGCAGAGTGGTTAGCCTTCTCACTTCTCAGCTCTGGCTCCAGCATCAACACCTGAGGATGGGCCCCGTTACTACGACAACCACTGCTCCTGACAGACACAACTTACAACTACAATGTAATACCATAAGTGTAATGGTATACCATAAGTGTAAGGTGATTTGGTTCTTCTATAGCGGACAACTGTGAGATAGCGACGGTAATACCATGAAAAGAACCATCTTAAACTATTTATATAAGTTTCTCTCACTCTGGTCTCTCTCTTTGATCTCTATCTTGTCTCTCTGCTCTCTCTGGTTCCTCTTTCTGTTCTCTCCCTCTCTTTGGTGTCTCTCGAGTATCTCTCTCTGCTCTCTTTCTGGTTTCTCTCTGGTCTCTCGCTCTGCTCTCTCTCTCTATAGTCTCTCTCTGGTCTCTCGCTGCTCTTTCTCTGGTCTCTCTCTCTTGTCTCTCTCTTGTCTCTCTCTGGTCTCTCTCTCTCTTGTTTCTCTGGTCTCTCTCTGGTCTCCCTCTGCTCTCTCTCTGATCTCTCACTTAGCTTAATATCGTTGAAGTTGACTCAGAGGTAACTGGACGTGAGAGCTCTCCTCTGGTTTGAGTTCCACCTGGTTGTAGTACTATGGTTACTGTGATGATTGAGTATTAGCAGAGTAAGAACCAGTATGATCCAGTTCAGTGCATTGGAATGAGGACGGTGACAGCTCGAAGCACGCCTTCCTTGAATACTTAACAATAATCTCTGTCCAAATACTTTCTCAGGCTTCAGGATACACAAAAAAAAACCATAAGTCACTCATGGAAGGAAGGATCTCAGACCAGAAAGGTTGGCGTGTTGTTAGGACTCGTGTCGGCGGAGACAGGGACACAGCAAGATAAAAGGGGGCAAAGAGTCTTTTGAAGTCACAGCCAGGACAAGAAAGAAAGACCAGAGAACGAGACCAGAAAGAGAGACCAAAGAGAGAGGCCAGAGAGAGACCAAGGAGAGAGACCAGAGAGAGAGACCAGAGAGAGAGAGACCAAAGAGAGACCAGAAAGACCTGAGAGAGACAAGAGAGAGAGACCAGAGAGAGAGACCAAAGAGAGAGGCCAGAGAGAGACCAGGGAGAGAGACCAGAGAGAGAGACCAAAGAGAGACCAGAAAGAGACCTGAGAGAGACAAGAGAGAGAGACCAGAGAGAGAGACCAGAGAGAGAGAGACCAGAGAGAGACCAGAGAGAGAGACCAGAGAGAGACCAGAGAGAGACCAGAGAGAGACCAGAGAGAGAGACCAGAGAGAGACCAGAGAGAGACCAGAGAGAGAGACCAACGAGAGACCAGAGAAAGGAGACCAGAGAGAGAGACCAAAGAGAGACCAGAGAGAGAGACCTGAGAGAGACAAGAGAGAGAGACCAGAGAGAGGCCATAGGAGACCAGAAAGAGACCAGAGGGAGAGACCAGAGAGAGAGACCAAAGAGAGAGGCCAGAGAGAGACCAGAGAGAGACCAGAGAGAGAGACCAGAGAGAGAGACCAAAGAGAGAGGCCAGAGAGAGACCAGAGAGAGACCAGAGAGAGAGAGACAGGAGAAAGACCATAGTGAGACCCAAGAAAGAAAAATACCAGAGAGAGTCCAGAGAGAGAGAGACAATAGAGAGACCAGCGAGAGACCAGAGAGAGACTAGAGAGAGACCAGAGAGAGACCAGAGAGAGACCAGAGAGAGACCAGAGCGAGACCAGAGAGAGACCAGAGAGAAACCAGAGCGAGACCAGGGAGAGACCAGAGAGAGACCAGAGAGAGACCAGAGAGAGACCAGAGAGAGACCAGAGAGAGACCAGAGAGAGACCAGAGGAGAGCCGTTTCTTGTGATAAAATACCATTATTTTCAGAGTTTCTAGTCTCTGACTTGTCTTGAGTTACTTTGTTGGAGTCGACCTTTTTCAGGTGTTTTTGAACAGTCTTCTTCAGCCTGCGGCGACTTCTAAGTCTTACATAATCATTTCAGTTCAGTCCAGGCCTCAGAGCAGACATGTGGGAGACCCGGAGGAACCCGACACACACACGGGGAGAACATGCAAACTCCACACAGAAAGGCTTTGGCAGGATCTACATAATTCCCATTGTGTTTAAAACTTGAATAAAAATGTATAAAAATGAAACACAAATGAATTTTTAGCTAAAAATCTATCCATTGAAACCGGGTGTATATAAACCTAAATTGTTTTCTTTGGTGTGAGAGAGAGAGCACCTGTAAGTCATGTTTTGACTCTTTGGGCTGAGAGCTTTTTCACTTTTCTGTCTGAAAAGTTGAGTTTAAGATGTGAGAGAGCAAAACACATCCATGAAGGCTAGTGATAGAACAACAGAGAGGAATAATAGTGAGAGCAGAGAGAGAGAGAGAGAGCACAGAAAGAGCAGAGAGAGCAGAGAGAGAAAGAGAGAGAGCGGAGAGAAAGAGAGAGAGAGGAGAGAGACCAGAGGGAGAGCAGACAGAGAGACCAGAGAGAGAGAGAGCACAGAGAGACTAGAGAGACAAGAGAGAGAGAACAGAGAGAGACCAGAGAGAGACCAGAGAGAGACCAGAGAGAGACCAGAGAGAGAGAGAGCACAGAGAGACTAGAGAGACAAGAGAGAGAGAACAGAGAGAGACCAGAGAGAGACCAGAGCGAGACCAGAGAGAGACCAGAGAGAGAGAGAGCAGAGAGAGACATTTGAATAACTTTTGAGTGCTTGGTTTCTCCTCCTCTTCCAGGTCTCTCACCTTTCTCTTATTCTTGCGTCTCTCTTGTTTTGAAGCCGGCTTGCTCTTTCTGGGGAGAGCTTTGCTGCCGTTAGCTCCCATGTCGCTCGGTAATCCACCCGCCAATCATGAATGACAACAAACGCACATGCTAACGCTAACACTAGTCCGACTGCTACTACTACTACTGCTACTGCTGCTGTCCAACTGGTCTACTCTCTCTGACAGACAGCACTGGTGTCTACAGGCTCCTCCCACTACCTGCTTAAGTCCTCCCCCTTAGGGCAAACTCTATCTGCCTCTATCTCCCTCTCTCTATCTCCCCTCTCTTTCTCCACCTTTCTCCTCCTATCTCTCCCCCTCTCTCTTCATTCCTTCCACAGGTTACCATTTGCTGTGTCTTGTTATGTGCTGTTTAAAACCCAAAGCATTATAAAAAAATAAAAAAACATTGGTGACTTTTTTTGAGCTTTTAACGGCATTGCTACAACATTGTTCCTCATCTGTCACAGACCTGGGATTGTTTTAAGATCAGTCCACGCTAATATCAGAGATTTATGGCCAAAACTTTGCATGTAATGTCGCCCCTTACATTAGTGATAGCTCTTGTGATAGTATGAATAGAGAGACCAGAAAGAGACCTGAGAGAGACCAGAAAGAGACCTGAGAGAGACCAGAGTGAGACCAAAGAGAGAGAGACTAGAGAAACCAGAGAGAGGGACCAGAGAGAGACCAGAGAGAGACCAGAGAGAAACCAGAGAGAGACCAGAGAGAGACCTGAGAGAGACCAGAGAGAGACCTGAGAGAGACCAGAGAGAGACCTGAGAGAGACCAGAGTGAGACCAAAGAGAGAGAGACTAGAGAAACCAGAGAGAGGGACCAGAGAGAGACCAGAGAGAGACCAGAGAAAGACTAGAGACCAGAGAGAATGAGACAAGAGAGACCAGAGAGAGACCAGAGAGAGACCAGAGAGAATGAGACAAGGGAGACCAGAGAGAGACCCGAGTGAGACCAGAGTGAGACCGGAGTGAGAGGAATGGTCTGTGGAATGTGAGTTATTCCAGCTGCCGCTCCCTCTTTATCACTGATCTCTGAGTCTTTGAAGCACAGGTCCCTCACAGGAACCAGGCTTTAGCCACAGGAAAGTTCTGCACTTTTTATGTCACGTGCCAAAAACTGAGCACACACAACACACACACACACACAGATACACACAGATACACAGACACACACACATTCTCCAGAGTAGGAAGTATGTAAACTTTTGTTGATGAGTGTGTGTGGTATTTTGGGAATTCCAATCGGACAGGTTCATTCAAAACAAGAGAGACAGAGGGAGAGAGTGTGTGTGTGAGTGTGAGTGTGTGAGCGCCGTTGTCTCTGTGTGTGTCTCTTTCTCTCTCTCTCTCTTTGTGTGTGTGTCTTTCTCTCTCTCTTTCTTTTTGTGTGTGTGTGTGTGTGTCTCTTTTCACCTGAAACACAGTGTCCATATGAACGGGGGGTAGCAACTGACATCCAACTATAGCATTTTACTGCCGCATTGACTCTGTATAAACGGGGCAGTCTGCCTAAGTCTGTCTGTGTCCTCAGTGAGAGTGTGTGGTTGGTTTGCTCGCACCTTTCTAAAGCTGCAGATAAGATAAAGCTGGTGTTTGTGGATAGATAAGGTTCACCACAGCTGGGACTTTAGACACGTGTCTGTATAATGTTCTATGTCAATAAACTACTGTCACTACAGCTACAAGGACAGGAACTCATGCTAATACTAATGTTACTACTGCTGCTACTACAACTACTTCTACTGCTACAACAAGTACTACTACTGCTGGAATTTCCAAGCAGATCATTGGAATGAGGAACTAAAATCTCTGAGTCCATGAAGCCACTAAATACCTATTTGTTTAAAGTAAATACATAGATCTAACCAGAGAGGAGTGAACCATGGACTCACACTTTGAGAACCTGCTGCACACAGCTGCACTGGGACAGGACAAAGCGAACACAGTTATGTAAGAAGCAGTAAAACGCACGAGTGAAAAGATAACAGGTTGTTTTTATAGACGACTTTCCCTCAAGAGTTATGTGCAGAGTCAGAACTCTCACTGAACTGGTCTCTCTCTGGTCTCTCTCAGGTCTTTCGCTGGTCTTTCTCTGGTGTCTGCATTAAAACAGCGCATTGGATTTGAAAAATCTACGTAGAGATGATCATTTTAGCACAACTACTTTTGTGCTATTGACCACGGAAGTCCGAATCTGGGAATATGGCGCATCTTTACCAAACTTCTGCTGTGATGATGCTGCGATTGTCTACATTAAACCCATGGATGTTTTCAAGTCTACGCCCCTTTGACACTGATTGGCCGAAAGTTAGACGCTTAAACTGTGATTACTTTGTGTGTGTTGTGTGCGCGTCTTTCGCGCGTGTGACATGCCGTGAGTGAGTGATGCATTTAAGGCAACTCTGAAAATACGGGACAAAAGCCGTCCTGTATCCATTCAATACACAGTTCTTCTATAATACGGGACAATTCTGTATTTCAAGGGACGGTTGGCAACCCTACTCTCTCTGGTCTCTCTCTGGTCTCTCTCTGGTCTCTCTCTGGTCTCTCTCTCTGGTCTCTCTCTGGTCTCTCTCTGGTCTCTCTCTCTGGTCTCTCTATCTGGTCTCTCTCTCTGGTCTCTCTCTCTGGTCTCTCTCTCTGGTCTCTCTCTCTGGTCTCTCTCTCTGGTCTCTCTCTCTGGTCTCTCTCTCTGGTCTCTCTCTCTGGTCTCTGTGTGTGTCGGTGGTAAAAGCAGCTCAGAGAGACCATAACTCCACATGATCATAATGACACTGCAAATATTTACTCTGCTCCTTCAGTCATCCTGTTGCCGACAGACACATCCTGGACTCACTGGAACCAAGCCAGAAACCAGAGAGAGACCAGAAAGAGACCAGAGAGAGAGAGACTAGAGAGACACCAGACAGAGAGAGACCAGAGAGAGACCAGAGAGACATGGGAGAGACCAGGGAGAGACCAGCGAGAGAGACCAGAGGCACCAGAGAGAGACCAGAGTGAGACCAGAGAGACACCAGAGTGAGACCAGAAAGAGACCAGAGAGAGAGAGCAGAAAGACACTAGAGAGAGACCAGAGAGAGAGACCAGAGAGACACCAGAGAGAGACCAGAAAGACACCAGAGAGAGACCAAAGAGAGACCAAAGATAGACCAGAGAGATACCAGAAAGAGACCAGAGAGACACCAGAGAGAGACCAGTGAGACCAGAGAGAGAGAGACCAGAGTGAGACCAGAGTGAGACCAGAAAGAGAGAGACAGAGTTTCAAAACAGGTCGATCCTGAGCTGATGTCACCTCGGTCACTATGACATTAAACACAACAGGTGATAATAATACTGCTTCAACCCACAATTATCTCTGACTTTACAGACTGCAGAGACTGCAGAGACTGTAGAGACTGTAGAGACTGTAGAGACCTTAGAGACTTTCGAGAAATCAATAAATCCAGAGTTTTAAATCTGCTCAAATCACCAACTTCAGGAGCAGAATGCGGTGGCAAATCTATACGTCTGTTATGAATTGTTTTCTGTAATGATTTTTGGGGACGTGCCGAGACTAGCTCCTTACTGCTGCTGCTATGCTAACGGCTAACAACAAGCTCCCCCGCACACATAATGACAGTGATTACAGACTGGTGCGTTGCCAAAGGCTAGGGCAGGTCTGTGGTTCAGTCATTTCCACTTCAGTTTACCCCACATCACCTCGAGCAGAGAACACACACATGGTTCAGGGGTTTGGAACAAGGAGCCAAAGTCTACAGGCCCCAAGCAACGGACAGAGAAAGACATTTATCATCATTTTAATTAATGCTTAAAGATTTCAATGTGGATCCCCCTGGGGTTTCTCACTTTTTCCCACTGTGTTTCTCTCTGATGCAGGAGGCTCTGAGGACAGTGCTCGTCCCACTCTAGAGACCAGAGAGAGATGAGAGAGACCAGAGAGAGAGACTTGAGAGAGATTATAGAGAAAGACTAGAGATAGGGAGCAGAGAGGGAAGAGAGAGACCTCTGGTGGTAGCATAGGGAACTACAGGCTGACAGTACCCTCATACATGTTTCACCCATAGACTGTAAATATTAACGGAGAGAGTCACGCCTTTCTCCGCCGGTCAAACAAATGGGCCAAAAAATGTGCTCTACTCGAGCTATCCAAAATGGCCGCGAGTGGTCCCGTCCACAAGAAAATTGTGAACCGGCGAGAGCTCCATTCATTTAAACAAGAGATTTAAAAAATTCACAGCGACTAAACTAGACTGGTCCAAAACACTCCCCTCAGCATTGACACACATGTGGAACGGAGCTTTGGGCCAAGAGCCAACTTTTGGTCCATCCTGTAAAGACGTTTTCGAGAGGTCTGCTATTGCTATATGTTAGCATTGGCTAATTCTTATTCCGGTCCACCCCCACAGGCCCGGGGTGGTATTGCAGCATGTCAGTGCACGTCATTTTGGTCACTTTTGAGCCGGGACCCGCCCCCACTGGTTTCACCATATATTATTCCACATAGTACCAGACTATAGACAGTACCAGATGCAGAGCAGACTGACCTCAGAGAACAGGTGCTGTACGACCAGAGCCAGGGCCTCCACTCGGCGGTTCCCCTGCAGCAACAGCCGCCGCAGCTGCCCCAGGGCCTGGTTCTTCTTCTCTGCCTGCTCCCTGGTCTGCTCTCTGGTCTGCTCCCTGGTCTGCTCCCCTGGTGTGGAGGAGGTGGAAGGGGGGGTCCTGGCCGAGCTGCCCTGCACTCGGGGGCTGGTCCTGGGGCTACAGCGTGTGGAGGAGGCCCTGGGTTTGGACAGAGACTGAGAGGAGCCATCGACCGGAGGGACGCGAGGAGCCGAGGAGGAGGTCACTGCATCAGGGGTCTGCAGAGATCAGAACACACACTTATCATTATTATCCTTCTATTATTACTATTATTAATGTTATTATTTATACTATTACTAATATTGGGCCTCATTCACGAACGGTTCTTAGGAACAGATTTGTACGTAAATCCTACTTACGCGGTTTTTACGAAGAAAGTGGCATTCACGAATATTTCTCGTAACCAGAATTTCTCTTGGGCAAGTACAAATCCTACGAGTCCTCAGGAGCACTCGTACGCATTCAGTGCCGACATGTTCACACGCCGGGGTTGTCCTCTTTGGTGAAGTTGAATAAAAATACAACATTCCAGTGATATGTCCGTCATATCGATGTATGTATTTATTTATTTGTAGTAATCTTTATTAGTAATCTTTATTTATATACCGCATTTTTCACTGCAGATCTGGCCTACTTTTTAATTCATTTTGAAATGAAATGTGCCAACGCTTTATCAAATACATTGGAAATCTTGCCGTGTATTAGTGACCCCTTCCTATTTATAGGGGGCATTTCTTTATCCACGGGCCACAGAACAACGGCATATATACTGCTGCTGCAGGAGGTTATGGGTCCGCGCTGAGTCTCTGCGCTGGTCTCTCCTATGGATCTATACGGGTCTGCACTGGTCTCTCCCATGGATCTATACGGGTCTGCACTGGTCTCTCCCATGGATCTATACTGGTCTGCACTGGTCTCTCCCATGGATCTAGACGGGTCTGCACTGGTCTCTCCCATATACGGGTCTGCACTGGTCTCTCTCCATACGGGTCCGTGCTGCATGCTCCTGGATCCATACGGGTCCGCGCTGGTCTCTCAAGTCTGGTCTATGCGGTCTATCTTCGGTCCGCGCTGGTCTCTGCGCACCGGTCTCTCCAGTCAGGTCACAGTCTATGCGGTCTCTCCTATAGGTCCGCGCTGGTTTCTGTGTGCTGGTCACTCCAGTCTCTCCTCGGGTCTGCATTGGTCTCAGCACTGGTCCGCGCTGGATCTCCTCCCAGGGTCCAAAATATTTTGAGATTAATCTCAAAACATTTTGAGATTCATCTTTATAATAATACATAATATATTTTTAAATTAAGCTCATAACATTTTGAGATTAATCTCATCATATTCTTAGATTAATCTCATAATTTTGCTAGTTCGACTTTATTATCATAATATTTCGACTTTTAAGTCAACATTTTATTACTTTATTCTCAGTCTGGTAAAAGAAGAAAAAAGGGTGACTCTTTTGCTCCGTGTAACGCTTTGCTTTAGGCCTGTTGCTGTTTCCTCAGCCGTCTGCACACGGCCCTGCATCCCCTTATATGGGCATTAGTGGGCGGTTACTTATGCTAAGTACCTATGCTAATGAAGCACCTGGCACGCGCGCTCTACTTACGAGGAAATGGGATTCATCAATCTGAGAGAACAGCTGCGAACAATTCAGCGGCTTACGAGTGCGTTGATGAATCCCACGTGGGGACTTCTTAGAAATCTACTTAAGGACAACTTGAGAAGAAAGTTGAGTAGTTTCTTACGAAGTTATTCGTGAATGAGGCCCATTATTATTATCTATGTTATTGTTGTTATTCTTATTGTTGATTTTGGCATTATTGTTAGATCCTTTACCAAGATTTCTCTGGACTTTTCTGTAGGGTGCCAGATAAGTAGGGTGTCAGCAGTAGGGTGCCAGAGAAGTAAGGTGTCAGATAAGTAGGGTGTCAGCAGTAGGGTGTCAGATAAGTAGTGTGCTAGAGCAGTAGGGTGCCAGAGAAATAGGGTGCCAGAGAAGTAGGGTGCCAGAGCAGTAGGGTGCCAGAGCAGTAGGGTGCCAGATTAGCAGCTGGAGCCAAACTCACCGCGTCGCCACAGTTCTGCTGCTGGGCCTGGCTTCCCGCTCTCTCTCCGCTGGGGTTGTGTGCTCGGCTCTGGACCTCCCTCTTGTTTTTGTCCACTGCAAGAGAACGGCGAGCGGTTAGCTTGCGTTTGCTAGGCCCGGCGTTTAGCATTGCGAACACATAGCTCCAAATAATGACCGAAGGAAACCGACGCGAGAAGCAAAACTGTGGATCTGACGGAGGTTTGTAACGTGAGAAGCTGAGTAAGGCATTGTGGGAAGGAGGGGTAATGGCCAGTGTGTGTGTGTGTGTGTGTGTGTGTGTGTTATACAGGCCATTACCAACTAAGAAAAGCCATTAGCGCTACAGTGATCTATACGTGTACTGGTCTCTGCTACAGTTTTTCAAGCTGGTCTGACGGCTCCTTTGAGAGGCTGCAGACTAGATATAGCAACAAAAAACATGTAAGACAGGAGCAGAGCCTCAGTCCTGGGTCTACAGCCTCAGTCCTGGGTCTACAGTCTCAGTCCTGGGTCTACAGTCTCAGTCCTGGGTCTACAGCCTCAGTCCTGGGTCTACAGTCTCATTCCTGGGTCTACAGCCTCAGTCCTGGGTCTACAGCCTCAGTCCTGGGTCTACAGCCTCAGTCCTAGGTCTACAGCCTCAGTCCTGGGTCTACAGTCTCAGTCCTGGGTCTACAGTCTCAGTCCTGGGTCTACAGCCAATAGCCATTGGTTCAATCCAAACACAGAAACTGAAATTGTTCAGAAAAAAATGTAAGTACAGTCTAATGCTACTGCTACTACTACTAATACTACTGCTACTACTACTACTACTACTGCTACTGCTACTACTACTACTACTACAGCACCTCTCTAAAATGAGGCCTGGTTCTTTCACACACTGCCACCAGCTGGTCACAGTGATAACACACGTTAAAACACATTTCTCCTTGTGTGAGTGAGGAAGTGTTACCTTGAGGCCACGAAGCCAAGCAGAGCTGCTGAGCCCAGACTGAGACAAGAAGTCAGCACGTTAGCAGTTAGCATCTGGTGTTGCTTTCGTCAGATTTTAAATCACAAATGCTGGTAAAGACGCCGGAATGATTCAGAATCTTCCATGGGTCTTACGCTCTACAATCATGTATATATACAAGGATTAAGATGAGAATTTGACTATACTTAAGGCCCTTTTATTCTATTCAATAAATATGCAGCAAAATGACCATTCAAAAGTCACTGGTTTAGTTATTTTGAGTCATCACCAGCATTTGAAAATACAATCTGACAGCACTAGAGATTCACAAAACCATGTTAGGGTTAAGATTTAAAGGTAGAGTCACGTCTGCTGGTGCACAGGTCTGAATAACACAGAGAATCCTCTTTGAGCTTCGGCCGCATCTGAATTCAACCCACAAAGCCTCCTTCCTTGTGCCTTATACTACTGAAGCTCCTGGTTTGGTCAAAGGGAAATCTCACACCTTTATAGTTATGTTTCATAACGCCAAATAGGTCAAAATCTTATCCCATCAAGGTCAAAACTAGAGAGAAGGAAGGACAAAGAAGCAGTGGGTTTAATGAATTGGGATGCAGGCCATTTACAAGTTATTTTTTTCAGAGTGATCATCAATAACAACTAGGTTCAAGATTTCTACACTGCAAAACTGTACAAAATTAAGTCAAATCGGCTTGAATATTGATTTTAGTTTGTTTTGTTCATATTAAAACCGGATTTGCCAAAGAGAAAAGCAAAAATGTCTTTAAAGCTTTAATTGAATTTATTTTTAATAGTCTCTTCTCTTGCATTTGGGGCATTCCCTTTAAGAGACGCCCACATCATGACTTTACTTGTGGCCGGTGTGCAGTAGCAGAAGGACTTTAAGGACAAAGAGAGGGAGAGAGTATAGGGCTGAAAAAAATGATTTATTCTATTTAAAAATACTTTGATTGATGTTAAATGATGCTGGAGTTGGTCAAACAAATAATCTTTAAAGTTGGACATTCTAACTTTCAATAAAATCCTTGTCTCTAGTTCCTGGTTCAAAAACGTGGGTGTATTTGGCATCTTTCAACTTTTCTGGTATCTCTCTGGTCTCTCTCTGGTCTCTCTCTGGTCTCTCTCTGGTATCTCTCTGGTCTCTCGCTGGTCTCTCTCTGGTCTCTCTCTGGTCTCTCTCTCTGGTCTCTCTCTCTGGTCTCTCTCTCTGGTCTCTCTCTGGTCTCTCTCTGGTCTCTCTCTCTGGTCTCTCTCTCTGGTCTCTCTCTGGTCTCTCTCTGGCCTCTCTCTGGTCTATCGCTGGTCTCTCTCATGTCTCTCTCTCTGGTCTCTGTCTGGTCTCTCTCTCTCCAGTCACCAGAGTGGTCGATTCCTCAACAACAGATCAGAGAATCAGACAGTTGGGACACAGGAAAACCAATGAAACTAAACACACTTAGACTGTGATCATGGACTACATCAACAACTAACAACAATTCAGCTCATTTTTGTCTCATCAGATTATACGGTCGGCCTGGCATGAACCAGGCTGTGTGTGTGTGTGTGTGTGTGTGTGTGTGCATGTGTGTGATGACTAAAGCTCGCGGTAACCTAGATCTCCACAGCAGCAGAAGTGGGTCTGTGGATGAGGCACGTGGCCCAGGATCAGAATAACATCGACTGTAAGAACCGAAAGACTAAGAGGGGAAGGCAGTCGTGTTTTTTGGCCAAAACGCAATCACTGAGAAAACAGGATAAGATTTGTGGTTTTAAACTGAGACACAAAGAGAGAGACCAGAGAGAGGCCAGAGAGAGACCAGAGAGAGAGACCAGAGAGAGAGACCAGAGAGAGAGAGACCAGAGAGAGACCAGAGAGAAAAGAGAGAGACGAGAGAGAGAGACCAGAGAGAGAGACCAGAGAGAGACCAGAGAGAAAAGAGAGAGACCAGAGAGAGAGACCAGAGAGAGACCAGAGAGAAAAGAGAGAGACGAGAGAGAGAGACCAGAGAGAGAGACCAGAGAGAGACCAGAGAGAGAGACCAGGGTGAGAGGCCAGAGAGAGAGACCAGAGAGAGGCCAGAGAGAGACCAGAGAGAGAGACCAGGGTGAGAGGCCAGAGAGAGAGACCAGAGAGAGAGACCAGAGAGAAAAGAGAGAGACGAGAGAGAGAGACCAGAGAGAGAGACCAGAGAGAGAGCCCAGGAGAGAGAGACCAGAGAAAGAGACCAGAGAGAGACCAGAGAGACTGGAAAGAGACTGGAAAGAGACCAGGGAGAGACCATTTCCTTTACCTTCCTGAGTGTGGTTTATAAAAACATGACAAAGAATAAACGGCTACAGTTTCAATCTTTCAGAGCCAGATGTGGCCTGGGCTATTTCAGGCGTTGGTCTGAGTCACATGGGTTCCCTCCAGGCGCTCCAGGCGTGGGCAAGAGCTGCTTTTATCGTCAGAGAGAAGTCGCCCGTGCAGAAACATCTCACTCACGCGGAGCTAAAGCAGAGCATGAATGAGCCGAGTACTGTGGCTCAATACAAGTATGTGTAAGACAGGGGTGCCCAAACTTTTTAGCATTGTAGTTCACCCGACTAGTCCAGGAGCCGACATCACAGACTGAAAAACTATCTTGACTGGCATCGGGCTGTTCTGAGCTTTAAGATGATCCATAACAGAGCTGAAGTTGGATGAATGACACAGTGAACTTGTGTTTATGATCTCAAAGACTTCTGTGGGTTAGCGAGGCAAACCCTGAGCTCACCATAACTAACTGTTCTTCTCTGACCTGAACCCTTCGCTGAACCTGATCCTGAATCTAAATCACAAATGGAAAGAAAGAAAGAGCTTTGAATGATATTTCCTTGAGCTCGGGATGAAAAGCCAGGATTCCACGGATCCCCAAAAGTTTCTCTGGGGAGACTGGAGCAGGAAGACCATGGACCAAAGGCTGGAGGACAGAGGTTTCAGAGATACAGCTCTGACTGCAGACGCTGCTCCCTCTGAGCAGGACCAGGATCACTACAGTTACTTTTCCAGAGATACAGCTCTGACTGCAGACGCTGCTCCCTCTGAGCAGGACCAGGATCACTACAGTTACTTTTCCAGAGATACAGCTCTGACTGCAGACGCTGCTCCCTCTCCCTCCACTTCTCAGACCAAGACCCGGAAAGTCTCTGTCTTTCAGTGAGACTAAAGACCTCATGTTTAAGGCTTAAAAGGTTCTTTTAGACACAAACTAAACTAATGAACGAATGAACGACCTCATGTTTTGACCCAAACATTCTGTCGTTCAGCAGTATTAGTTTTCTTTAATGTTTTATTAAAATAACTTTATAAGTCTTTAACGTTCTTTTGGACAACAACAGGGCGGCACGGTGGCTGAGTGGTTAGCACTCTGCCTTCTCACCAAGAAGGTCCTGGGTTCGAATCCCGGTCAGAACAGGGCCTTTCTGAGTGGAGTTTGCATGTTCTCCCCGTGTCTGCGTAGGTTTCCTCCGGGTTCTCCGGTTTCCCCTACCACTAAAAATCCTGACTTAAGGAACCAAGGGGACAGGTTTGTGTGCTACAAACAACTCCAGTTTGCTTCTTTCTTCTGCTGAAGCTGGAGATTTACACTTGCTTCTTAATTGAATGCGCTGGAAAACAACAGCAAGTCCTAAGTGTCTCTGAAACAGTTGTTTTGTGTTTTACAATTTGAATTTTTATTTCTTTTTTTCTACTTGAGATGCTGCAATACAGTGTCTTATACTGGTCCAGACCAGAGCAGAGAGGATTCATGGTTTTACACTGGTCCAGACCAGAGCAGAGAGGATTCATGGTTTTACACTGGTCCAGACCAGAGCAGAGAGGATTCATGGTTTTACACTGGTCCAGACCAGAGCAGAGAGGATTCATGGTTTTACACTGGTCCAGACCAGAGCAGAGAGGGTTCATGGTTTTACACTGGTCCAGACCAGAGCAGAGAGGATTCATGGTTTTACACTGGTCCAGACCAGAGCAGAGAGGATTCATGGTTTTACACTGGTCCAGACCAGAGCAGAGAGGATTCATGGTCCAAACCAAGTGGATCACGTGACTGGAGGTATGCTAACTTTATGAAAAATTGCAAATTAAGCATTTAGCATTTTGCTTTGGCAGAGAAAATGGTCCAATCCAAGCGGCTTCTCCACCTTGTGACCCGTCCTGCTCCACCCAGAGGCTTCTCCACCTCTGCTGCTGTGACCCGTCCTGCTCCACCCAGAGGCTACTCCACCTCTGCTGCTGTGACCCGTCCTGCTCCACCCAGAGGCTTCTCCACCTCTGCTGCTGTGACCTGTCCTGCTCCACCCAGAGGCTACTCCACCTCTGCTGCTGTGACCTGTCCTGCTCCACCCAGAGGCTTCTCCACCTCTGCTGCTGTGACCCGTCCTGCTCCACCCAGAGGCTTCTCCACCTTGTGACCCGTCCTGCTCCACCCAGAGGCTTCTCCACCTCTGCTGCTGTGACCTGTCCTGCTCCACCCAGAGGCTTCTCCACCTCTGCTGCTGTGACCCGTCCTGCTCCACCCAGAGGCTTCTCCACCTCTGCTGCTGTGACCCGTCCTGCTCCACCCAGAGGCTTCTCCACCTCTGCTGCTGTGACCTGTCCTGCTCCACCCAGAGGCTTCTCCACCTCTGCTGCTGTGACCCGTCCTGCTCCACCCAGAGGTTTCTCCACCTCTGCTGCTGTGACCCGTCCTGCTCCACCCAGAGGCTTCTCCACCTCTGTAATACTAGCTTCTTTCTTATGCTAAAGCTAAAGACTTTAATGATAGAGATGGAGGAACACACGTCAAAGGTCCATGACACAGAAAGGGGCAGACCACAGACAGTATGTTATGAACCTGGACTTTAGACTTCTGTCAACGAACAGATGAAATCGAGAGATCGTCCAAACGAGTTAAAAACGAGATTCAAACCTGCGTGAAAAACCACCGTGTTCTTGCGGCATCCCGGCAACAGCTGGAGGTTCCGGAAAAGCCCCTTCGCCGTCAGCTTCACGTGGAAGTTTGAAAGCGACAATCTCGGAGACCAGAGCATCGTGTTCCAAACAAATCCTCCCAAAAAGAGAAAGAAAAGCAGCAGCTACACGTGGCTATGTTTAATTCTGAAGTCTTGTCTTTACAAAATAGCGTATTTATTAGGGACCTTACATGCGTCTAATCACATCAGGTTAAAATCCCTACGAAGGTTCTGTTCTGTGTAGAATATATGAATGAGGTACTGTACACTAGCGTCCACATTCTTTGCAAACTGGTCAAATTCCTGCTTCCAATTATGTATTCTCGCAGATCCTATGTGTGTATGAAGCGGAAAAATAGATATTTTGACAGAAAATTCCCAAAAACGCAGGTGAAACTTCCAGCTCCCCACGTGCACTCAGACGCCGAGATTTCTAAATCTGCTCGAAAACAAGGTCAAACCCGGCATCTGCTCAAATCCTCGCCGTTTGGTTGCTTCCAGTTTGAACGACGAAAAAAAGCATAAATCCACAATCGGGAGCAGTTTTCCGAATCTCCACGGAATCAAACAGACGTAGCTTTAGGTGTTAAAATCGCAGATGGAGACGAAAAGATGGAGAGAGAAGCGATGAGAAAGAGGAGGCGCGAGGTTGATTAGTATTCCTTCTCCGACGTGAACCAATGGCCCACTGACACACTGCGGACGCAAACCCCTCCCCTGAAGAACGGGAGAAATAAATATATAAAGGAATTTACATGCGACACACGAATGGGACAAAAGGCAGGCAGCTGGAGTGATTCTGAGAGCGGCAGGCAGAGAGGAGAGAGAGGGGAGGGGAGGGAGGAGGGAGAGGGGAGGGGAGGGAGGAGAGAGAGGGGGGGGTGAAGGAGGAGCATGAGGGGGAGGGGCTGGATGGGATAATCTGCTGCTGCTTGGCTCCATTTGCTAAACATGTGTCTGTATGTGTGTATGGATGCATGTGTGTGTGTGTGTGTGTGTGTGTGTGTGTGTGTGTGTGTATGGATGCATGTGTGTGTGTGTGTGCGTGTGTGTGTGTGTGTGTGTATGGATGTGTGTGTGTGTCTGTGTGTGCTTATGGATGCATGTGTGTGTGTGTGTATGGTTGCATGTATGTGTGTGCGTGTGTGTATGAACGTGTGTGTCTGTATGTGTGTATGGATGCACGTTTATGTGTGTGTGTTCTTGTTTCTGGTCTCGCTCTCTGGTCTCGCTCTCTGGTCTCGCTTTCTGGTCTCGCTCTCTGGTCTCGCTCTCTGGTCTCGCTCTCTGGTCTCGCTCTCTGGTCTCGCTCTCTGGTCTCTCTCTCTGGTCTCTCTCTCAGCTCTCTCTCTGGTCTCTCTCTGGTCTCTCTCTGGCCTCTCTCTGGTCTCTCTCTGGTCTCTCTCTGGTCTCTCTCTGGTCTCTCTCTGGTCTCTCTCTGGTCTCTCTCTGGTCTCTCTCTGGTCTCTCTCTGGTCTCTCTCTCTGGTCTCTCTCTCTCTGGTCTCTCCGAGAACACGCCGAGAACAGGATGAAAAAGGACACGGACAAAGCAGTGGCCGCAGTCGCCTCAGGGCAGAGTGTGAGGGTCAGAGGCACGTGTGAGATCACAGGGACATGATGTAATAACGACCAGCAGATTTAAAGAAGACGTATCATAGATTATTCTTTAAATAAAAAATAATAATAATACTATTTACTTTGTTGTGTTTTAAAATGTGGACAGAGAGAACAGAGAGAGACCAGAAAGAGACCAGAGAGAGATCAGAGAGAGAGACCAGAGAGAGACCAGAGAGAGACCAGAAAGAGACCAGAGAGAGATCAGAGAGAGACTAGAGAGAGACTAGAGAGAGAGACCAGAGAGAGACCAGAGAGAGACCAGAGAGAGACTAGAGAGAGACCAGAGAGAGACCAGAGAGAGACCAGAAAGAGACCAGAGAGAGATCAGAGAGAGACCAGAGAGCGACTTGAGAGAGACCAGAGAGAGACTTGAGAGAGACTAGCGAGAGATCAGAGAGAGAGACCATAGAGAGACTAGAGAGAGACCAGAAAGAGACCAGAGAGAGATCAGAGAGAGAGACCAGAGAGAGCCCAGAGAGAGACCAGAAAGAGACCAGAGAGAGATCAGAGAGAGACCAGAGAGACCAGAGAGCGACTTGAGAGAGACTATAGAGACCAGAGAGAGACTAGAGACTAGAGAGAGACCAGAGAGAGACTAGAGACTAGAGAGAGACCAGAGAGAGACTAGAGAGAGACTAGCGAGAGATCAGAGAGAGAGACAAGAGAGAGACTAGCGAGAGATCAGAGAGAGACTAGAGAGAGACTAGCGAGAGATCAGAGAGAGACTAGAGAGAGACCAGAGAGAGACTAGAGAGAGACTAGAGAGAGACTAGCGAGAGATCAGAGAGAGAGACCAGAGAGAGACTAGAGAGAGACCAGAGAGAGAGACCAGAAAGAGACCAGAGAGAGATCAGAGAGAGACGAGAGAGACCAGAGAGAGACTTGAGAGAGACTATAGAGACCAGAGAGAGACTAGAGACTAGAGAGAGACCAGAGAGAGATCAGAGAGAGACCAGAGAGAGACTAGAGAGAGACTAGAGAGAGACTAGAGAGAGACCAGAGAGACCAGAGAGAGACCAGAGAGAGACCAGAGAGAGAGATCAGAGAGAGACTAGAGAGAGACTAGAGAGAGACCAGAGAGAGACCAGAGAGAGACCAGAGAGAGACCAGAGAGAGAGATCAGAGAGAGACTAGAGAGAGACTAGAGAGAGATCAGAGAGAGACTAGAGAGAGACCAGAGAGAGACTAGCGAGAGATCAGAGAGAGACTAGAGAGAGACTAGAGAGAGACCAGAGATTTGTATCCACAGCTTCGTCCTTTTGTGGTTTTTGTTCCTGTAACTTCGGTGTGTACCTGTGCTGCTGCCGCGGCTGAGGCGTGCAGAGCCGCTCCGCTGCAGAGGATTCTGGGAGATCTGTTTGGTCGGGCTGTGGGCGGCAGACGGAGGGGTCCTAGTGCCCGCTGGACTCACACCTCCGCTCTTGGAGGAGTTGTTGACAGAAGGAGTTTTGAGGCCTGAGGAGACACGCGACAGATCCATACATGTGATTATCAGACACAGAGCAGTGGTTCCCAACATGTGGACCCCTAACCAGCAATGACAGGTCCAGAGTGGTCCCTGTGGTTCATGTGTCCCAGGGGTCTAGCTCTTTTTGGCTATGGCTATTTTTAGTTTTTACTGTTATACCAAAGTCTCCATTGATTTCTTTGTGATTTTGTAGACAAATGTGTTCTTTCATTGAGGAACAGTGAGAATATTTTGTATAGCACGGTTCATACACAAAGAAACTCAGATCATAACTTATCACAGCGCAATAAAAAGAGGAAAGAAACACAGGCGTCGAACCTGCGAGAGAGTTACATGTGAAGGTTTTGATGTACACAGTGAGTCTGGGCCTCACAGAGGCTTCTCACTTTGTCCCACTGAATTTTAGAGGGTGTAAGGACAGTGATGATCCAGGACACTTATGGAGATTTATCAACATTTAGATTTACATTTAGAGAGAGAGACCAGAGAAAGAGAGACCAGAGAGAGACCAGAGAGAGACCAGAGAGAGACTAGAGAGACACCAGAGAGAGACCAGAGAGAGACTAGAGAGCGAGACTAGAGAGAGACTAGAGAGCGAGACTAGAGAGAGACTAGTGAGCGAGACTAGAGAGAGACCAGAGAGAGACTAGAAAAAGAGAGAGTTTTTATTATTCAATTTCTTGTGTTTGAACTGTTTGATTCTCTGATCTGTGTTGGTGAAATCAACAGTTTAGTAAGTAATGTTTATTTATATACTGCCTTTAACAGACCAGAGTCAAAGCGGGCATTAGTCTCTCACTCCACACAGAGATGGGAGCGGGGCCAGTACAGGAGGCACAGACCTATTGTACATGTTGTCTATGCATGACACTGGGAGAACATGCAACCTCCGCTCAGAAAGGCCCTGTTCCGACCAGGATTCAAACCCAGGACTTTCTTGCTGAGAAGCGAAAAGCCACCGTGCCTCCCTCAGAGTGAAGTCCTCAGAGATGTTGTGATTTAGGGCAATAAAGAAAAACATTGAATAAAACTGAGTGTGTGCTGGGACCTCTGTGTGATAAAGACCGTAGTCCCACCTGCACTGGGGCCCCGGGTTTGCAGGGACTGGGCCCTGGTCCTCATGGGGGAAGCTCTCGAGGCCTCAGTGGAGCCGGGGGGCCTCGCTGTGCTCTGGCTGCCCAATGCGAGAGACCCTCTGTTGGACTCAGAGTCTGGAGGAGCAGGAGCTGAAACACAGACAAGTCTATTTTACACACTAGAACTCCCAGAGAGAAAGTGCAGCTCTGGTCTCTCTCTTGTCTATCTCTCTGGTCTCTCTTTGGTCTCTCTCTGGTCTCTTTCTGGTCTCTCTTTGGTCTCTCTCTCTCTGGTCTTGCTCTCTAGTGTCTCTCTGGTCTCTCTCTCTGGTCTCTCTCTCTGGTCCCTCTCTCTGGTCTCTCTCTCTGGTCTCTCTCTCTGGTCCCTCTATCTGGTCTCTCACTCTGGTCTCTCTCTCTGGTCTCTCTCTCTGGTCCCTGTCTCTGGTCTCGCTCTCTCTGGTATCGCTCTCTCTGGTCTCTGGTTGCTCTCTCGGAGACCAGAGAGAGCCAAAACTTCCGCAGACTTTGGAAAAAGGAAAAGCAGCAGGAAACAGCTCAGTGTGGAAAAAACTCTATTATCTGCTCTTTATCTCTTTTACAGAAGTGTGTTAAAGGAGAGCCTCAGATGAAGTTAGCAAACGGTGGCTGTTTTTTCTGTCAGTTAAAACAGTGTGCATAATGCAGTGGACTGGTCTCTCTTTGGTCTCTCTCTCTGGTCTCTCGCTCTGGTCTCTCGCTCTGGTCTCTCTCTCTGGTCTCTCTCGCTGGTCTCTCTCTATGGTCTCTCTCTCGGGTCTCTCTCTCTGGTCTCGCTCTTTCTGATCTCTCTCTGGTCTCTATCTCTCTGGTCTCTCTCTCTGGTCTCTGTCTCTGGTCTCTGTCTCTGGTCTCTGTCTCTGGTCTCTGTCTCTGGTCTCTGTTCTCTGTCTCTGGTCTCTGTCTCTGGTCTCTGTCTCTGGTCTCTGTTCTCTGTCTCTGGTCTCTGTCTCTGGTCTATCTCTTTCTGGTCTCTCTCTCTGGTCTCTATCTCTGGTCTCTGTTCTCTGTCTCTGGTCTCTGTCTCTGGTCTATCTCTTTCTGGTCTCTCTCTCTGGTCTCTATCTCTCTGGTCTCTCTCTCTGGTCTCTCTCTGATCTCTCTCTCACCTTTGCCTCCGCTGTCGTTGCAGGTGCTTCCCAGGGACGAGGAGCTGAGGGTTGTGGGTAATCCTTTCACTGGCAGTTTAGATGCTGTAGCGATGGGGCGAGGGGGCGGAGCCGGCTGCTGATTGGTCGATGTTTTGGCGGCAAGTGAAGCGCTCGGGCCCAGAGAGCGGTCTGCACTGAAGCGAGGTTTTGGGATCCCTGGACACAAGCAGCAAACCATCAATGAAAACAAATGGACGATGCTAACCCGCTAGCTCTATTCTCTAGCTCTATCACAGACCAGGGCAAAGTGCGGCCCGGGTGCCACATACGGCCTGATTCATGTTCCTATGTGGCCCCGGACCTTCTCCCACAAACTTCATACGGCCTCTTCTGAGTTACATGACCATGAATGCTATAATGGCACGTTATACCTTATAATAATCCATAGAAAACTTTACAGCTGCAGTCCTGGATCTACAGCCTCAGTCCTGGATCTACAGCCTCAGTCCTGGATCTACAGCCTCAGTCCTGGATCTACAGCCTCAGTCCTGGATCTACAACCTCAGTCCTAGATCTACAGCCTCAGTCCTGGATCTACATGCGTGTCACAGGAAGACGTAATGTGACGCACAATATCAAGTCCCCTCCACACCTAATCCCCCACTCCCCACCACCCGCCACACTGACCGCCCTCATCGCCGCTGGGAAGCGGACCCTGGCCGCAGTTTTTAACCGCGTCAGAGCACGAGTCCAGGAATCGTGCTCTGGCCAGATGGCACCAAAAGCCCGGATCTAATCGCGAAGCGGGCCCTGGCACACTTCAACACTTATGTAACTGAGGGACATGCTAACAATAATGTGCTAATAACAACGTGCTAACAACAACGTGCTAACAACAACGTGCTAACAACAACGTGCTAATAACAACATGCTAGTCCAAAGTCCAAATTAATTAAAAAACGTGTAGATTCTGACCAGTGTGTGAGCCCAACCAGAAACAGAGTCCTCCTTATTCCTGGTCCAAGTTTAAAGACTTAAACACACTTTAATTTGAACAGTTTTTATGTATTCCTATTTCTTTATGATAAATATGGATCTCTCTCTCTGGTCTCTCTCTGGTGTCTCTCTGGTGTCTCTCTGGTCTCTCTCTCTGGTCTCTCTCTCTGGTCTCTCTCTCTGGTGACTCTCTCTGGTCTCTCTCTGGTCTCTCTCTCTCTGGTCTCTCTCCGGTCTCTCTCTGGTCCCTCTCCCTGGTGTCTCTCTCTCTGGTCTCTCTCTGGTCTCTCTCTGGTCTCTCTCTGGTCTCTCTCTCCGGTCTCTCTCTGGTCTCTCTCTCCGGTCTCTCTCTCGGTCTCTCTCTGGTCTCTATCTGGTCCCTCTCCCTGGTGTCTCTCTCTCTGGTCTCTCTTTGGTCCCTGTCTCTGGTCTCGTTCCCTCTCTGCTCTCTCTCTGCTCTCTCTTTCTCTACTCTCTCCGGTCTCTCTCTCTGGTCTCTCTCTGCTCTCAATTCATTTGAGTCTAAAATAAAGAATAATAGTAATAGTTGTGTGTGTCTATAATTGTGACTTTCTCCAAAAACAAAACATGAAATATGTCATTTCAGAAACGCCTCAATCACAAAAGCCTAAAAAAGCTTCAAAAATTCACACCTTCTTTTGAGTTTGTAACGTTATGTAACTGCAGCGAGGACTGGAGATTCACACTGAAGTATTCTCTCTGGTCCTGGGTCTACAGCTTCAGTCCTGGGTCTACAGCCTCTGTACTGGGTCTACAGTCTCAGTCCTGGGTCTACAGCCTCAGTCCTGGGTCTACAGCCTCAGTCCTGGGTCTACAGCCTCAGTCCTGGATCTACAGCCTCAGTCCTGGGTCTACAGCCTCAGTCCTGGGTCTACAGCCTCAGTCCTGGATCTACAGCCTCAGTCCTGGGTCTACAGCCTCAGTCCTAGATCTACAGCCTCAGTCCTGGATCTACAGCCTCAGTCCTGGGTCTACAGCCTCAGTCCTGGGTCTACAGCCTCAGTCCTGGATCTACAGCCTCAGTCCTGGGTCTACAGCCTCAGTCCTGGGTCTACAGCCTCAGTCCTGGATCTACAGCCTCAGTCCTGGGTCTACAGCCTCAGTCCTGGGTCTACAGCCTCAGTCCTGGATCTACAGGACTTATACTTGTGAGCATAAAGCAAGACTGTAATCATTTATTGTATTCTTTTTTTTTTTTTTTTTTTTTTGTATTTTGTATTGTATTCTTGTTTATTATTTAGTATTACTTATTACTTATTTTTTTAATATAATGATGTATGTATAATGTAAATGTGATGTATTTCTAGGTTTTAGGGACCAGGTCTGCAAACTAGCTGTTAACTATACGGCCTATGAACACAGCATCGGTTCCTGTAACAATGCTTCTTGTTCTGTCCCTATCAAATAAACAAATAATAAATAAATACAGCCTCAGTCCTGGGTCTACAGCCTCAGTCCTGGGTCTACAGTAAGCACATGCGCCCTCTGCTGGTGCCCCCGTGTAACTGCAGGTACATGTTAAAGGGGAAGTATCAACTAAACATGTTTAATGTATTTAGTCATTACAGCTGTGATTCTGTTAGTCCTGGACCAGAGGAAGACCAGAGGGAGAGGAGCGGACAGAGACCAGAGGGAGACCAGAGGGAGACCAGAGGGAGACCAGAGGGAGTGGAGCGGACAGAGAAGCCTTTGTCCAGAACTATGTGACCTTTAGGACACTTCCACCACTTTACAGCCCACACAAAAGGATTTAAGGGAGAATGCAGAGAGCTGTCGATCTCTAGAACACATGAAATACGATCAAATCTTTTTAGAGTTTTAAATGAGATTTCACCACATAGAACAATTACAATGATCCTACATGGTGCTGCAGACCATCAACATCTGTAAGAGGCCCCTGTGCTAAGGCTTAGGTCTCTCTCTGGTCTTTCACTCTTGTATCTCTTTCTCTGGTCTCTCTCTGGTCTCTCTCTGGTCTCCCTGCTCTCTCTCTGGTCTCTCTCTGGTCTCTCTCTGGTCTCTCTCTGGTCTCTCTCTGGTCTCTCTCTCTGGTCTCTCTCTCTGGTCTCTCTCTCTGGTCTCTCTCTCTGGTCTCTCTCTGGTCTCTCTGGTCTCTCTCTCTGGTCTCTCTCTGGTCTCCCTCTGGTCTAGTCACTAAAGCTGCTCCTCTCTGGGCTTCTGTGCTCAGACGGCTGCCTCTGCCACTCAGCAATGGATAAAGCGGAACAACATGCATGAATGGGTGGACACCACATCCACGCCGCTGCTGAATGTAGAAACACATGTTCACATCTGAGAGGAGTACATCCACAGGGTCCAGGAATGTTTACTACAGGTCTCTCTCTCTGGTCTCTCTTTGGTCTCTCTCTCTCTCTCTCTCTTGTCTCTCTCTCCCTCTCTCTCTCTCTGGTCTCTCTCTCCCTGGTCTCTCTCTCTGGTCTCTCTCTCCTTGGTCTCTCTCTCTGGTCTCTCTCTCTTGTCTCTCTCTCTCTGGTCTTTCTCCCTTACTCTCTCTCTGGTCTCTCCCTCTCTCTCTCTCTGGTCTCTCTCCCTCTCTCTCTGGTCTCACTTTGGTCTCTCTCTTTCTCTTGTCTCTCTCTCCCCCTCTGGTCTTTCTCCCTTCCTCTCTCTCTGGTGTCTCCCTCTCTCTCTCTCTGGTCTCTCCCTCTCTCTTTCTCTGGTCTCTCTCTCTCTGGTCTCTCTCCCTCCTCCCTCTTAGAGCATATTATCTCACACACACTAAAACATAAACATAATAGGCCTCATCATTGTTAATATCCATAAACAAATGTAAATATTTCTCCTTTTCTTTCCATCTCAGTCGCAGCTTTCACAACAATCCTCTCACCGCACCATAAATTACAGCTCTGCAGAACCCGCTGGTCTGGAGGCACCAGCGCTGACAAAATGACTAGTTGTGACAGATCTGCGTTCCTCTGTTTACCCCAGAGACTAAAGATGTTAGAGTTTTTAGATTATGCACAAACCGTGGCCTGGTCTCTGCTTGGCCGGAGATCCAGAGGAGGAGGGGAGAGTGTGTCCCAGAGAAGAGCCATCGTTCTGGGCTTGTCTGAGTCCAGGGTTCCCTTGTAGACATACTCCCGGCCGAGGTCCTTTCACTTGTGGTCTGTTTGTAGCAGCAGCAGCAGCAGCAGCAGCAGTAGTAGTAGAAGAAGAAGAAGTAGTAGTTCCCAGTTTGGAGACTTTCTGTAAAAACAGTGTGTGTTTAGTCGTGCTGTTCCATCGGAGCAGTTCTGTTGTTCGCACTGAAACCAAAGCATTGGCCATTTCTAAGTCATGAACGTAGAGGAGAAAAAATGTGGAGGAAAAGACAGACTTGAGGGAGGGAGGGAGGGAGGGAGGGGAGGGAGGCAGGGCGGGGCTACAGAAGTGTGCTGCAGGCGAGACACAAGTCAAAAAGCCTGTTCCACACAGACTCAGAGGAACATGTCATTCTGAATGTGCTGAGAATATATATATATATAGAGGATATATATAACAACAGCCAGGACCAGTGTGTGTGTATTTATATGTGCATGTGTGTGGGAGGTATGAGTTTGTGTGTATATCCATCCATTTTCTTCCCCTTAATCCATTTCTGGGTCAGAGGGATGGCCACAGAGCACCAGCCCCTCACTGATCCTCCTGCAGGTGCTGAGTCCACAGGAGCAGAGATCTTTCAGTGGGGGCTTCAGGCAAAGTGGGGTTTGCCTGATTCTGATTCTGTTAAGTGTCTTGCCCAAGGACACAGCGACAGCAGACATCGGTGTGAGTCAGTGGAGAAGGTCTTGTGGTGGTCTCGAACCCATAACCTTCAGGTTTAAAGGCCAATGCTCTACCAACTGAGCTACTGTTGTATGTGTGTGTGTGTATGTGTGCGTGAGTGTGTCTGTATGTGTGTGTGCGTGAGTGTGTCTGTATGTGTGTGTGTGTATGTGTGCGTGAGTGTGTCTGTATGTGTGTGTGCGTGAGTGTGTCTGTATGTGTGTGCGTGTGTGTGTGAGTGTGTGTGTGTGCGTGAGTGTGTCTGTATGTGTGTGCAGGTGTGTGTGCGTGAGTGTGTGTGTCTGTATGTGTGTGCATGTGTGTGTGTGAGTGTGTCTGTGTGTGTGTGAGTGTGTCTGTATGTGTGTGTGTGAGTGTGTCTGTATGTGTGTGTGCGTGAGTGTGTGTGTCTGTATGTGTGTGCAGATACAGACACTGTTTCTCAGTTAAGAACTTTATGACTTTCTTCCTGAAGTCTCCCCAAAATGGGACCAATTAAAGGTGGAGTACCTAACTTTGAAACCACAAAAAATAACTATAGCCCTGTTTCCACCTGCCCTAATCTCCTCGGCTCTGTATGTGTGTGCGTGAGTGTGTGTGAGTGTGTCTGTATGTGTGTGTGTGTGTGTCTGTATGTGTGTGTGTGTAAAAGTAAACTTCTCTAACTCAGTAACGATTGTGTGGATTTAAATCTGTGGTTTCTCTGTGATCCTGGTGTTTATATGTGTTGTTTTGTACTTCAGATACTGAGAGCTGATTGGTTCTCTCGTCTTCAACAGTTTTATTCAAAGAAGAGACAAAAATATAGGTGAAAGTAGCTGTCAGGGTTTGTGTGTGTGGGTGTGTGCTCTCCCTCCTCCCCTGTGTTCCTGGAGCTGGGCGGAGTGTCTGGAGTCCTGGTCCTGCCCCTTGCTCAGCCCTCCACACCTGCAGCTCATCAGCCTCACCTGTTAAAAGCCTGGTTCACCCTTCACCATGTGCCAGATTGTCAGTTTAACTTACAAGACCCAGGTTCGTTTTTTGGTCCAGACCTAGTCATCCTCCAGCTTTTTGCCCTGCTTCAGCCTCCAGCCCTGCTCAGTCCTGCCCAGCCACCACTGCTACCTGCTTGCACCTATGTTTGTAATAAATCTTGTAATTGTCTGCACGTTTGATTCTCCAGTCATTACAACAGTACAATCTGGCCACCATGAATCAAGCAGACAATGACCCAGCCCAACCTCCGGCAATACAACAAGCTGTCTCGCACCAAGGATCCATGATTGGTCATCATGAACAGAGTATCCGAATTCTGTTTGAGAGCAACCACGCCCTGGCACAGCAAGTATCGCAACTAACCTCCCAAGTTTCTGCCCTACTGTCTCTTCAGTCACCTGTCCCTGCTGCTTCTACTCTGGCTTCGGCCTCTGCTCCCTCCCTGGAGTCTCGGTGTTCAGACCCCGAAAAAGTGAGGGCGGTGGCAGAGTGGCCCACGCCGAGCACCAGAAAGCAGTTACAAAGGTTTATTGGGTTTGCTAACTTTTACAGAAGGTTCATTAAGAACTTCAGTCGAGTGGTGGCACCCATGACTAAACTTACCTCTCCCTCCAGTTTTGTTGGACCTCTGAAGCCCAGTCTGCTTTTGCTACATTGAAGGAACTGTTCACTTCTGCCCCGGTGCTGCATCAACCAGACCCCTCTCGCCAGTTTGTTGTGGAGGTGGATGCTTCAGAGACTGGAGTTGGCGCTGTACTCTCCCAAAGGTTTGGCCCAAAAAATGTCCTGCATCCCTGTGCTTTTTTTTCTCGACGTTTGTCACCAGCAGAACAGAATTATGATGTGGGGAATCGAGAACTTCTGGCCGTTAAACTCGCCCTAGAAGAATGGCGCCACTGGTTGGAGGGGGTGGAGCATCCGTTTCTGGTTTGGACGGACCACAAAAACTTGGCTTACATCCAATCTGCAAGGCGCCTGAACTCGCGACAAGCACGGTGGGCCCTCTTTTTCAGTAGGTTCAATTTTTCCCTCACTTACCGTCCGGGCTCACGCAATGTAAAGCCAGATGCTCTCTCACGCCAGTTCTCCCGAGAAGAAGCCACTCCTGTTCCTGAGCCTATCATCCAATCCTCTCGAGTGATAGCCGCTATAAGTTGGGACATTGAGAAGGTTGTAAGAGATGCTCAACAGACTCAGCCTGACCCAGGTAATGGTCCTGCTGGCACTCTTTTTGTTCCCGATAGTGCTCGTTCTGAAGTACTGAAGTGGGTTCATTGTTCACGATTCGCTTGTCATCCTGGGATTAATCGTACCCTGTCCCTGCTGAAACGCTACTTTTGGTGGCCGACTGTGGACAAAGACACACGAGAGTTTGTGCTAGCCTGCCAAATATGTGCCCGAAGCAAAGCCTCCCACTCCTTGCCCTCCGGTCTGCTTCAACCCCTACCTGTTCCCAAACGCCCCTGGTCACACATAGCAGTGGATTTTGTGACTGGCCTCCCCCCATCCCAAGGTAACACAGCCATACTCACAGTAGTAGATCGCTTTTCCAAAGCTGCCCATTTTATTGCTTTGCCTAAACTGCCTACAGCTAAAGAGACAGCAGATTACCTCACTAGTAACGTTTTCAAGCTCCATGGCATTCCACTCGACATTGTTTCTGACCGGGGCACGCAGTTTACATCACAAGTTTGGCGTTCTTTCTGTGAGGCTCTGGGAGCTACGGTGAGCTTAACCTCTGGTTATCACCCTCAGAGTAACGGCCAGACCGAACGTGCCAATCAAGACCTGGAGACTGCGCTCCGTTGTGTCACTTCTTCGAACACCACTTCCTGGAGCACGTTCTTACCTTGGATAGAGTATGCTCATAACTCTTTGGTGAGCTCGGCCACTGGTCTGTCTCCTTTTCAAGCTGCTTTGGGTTATCAGCCACCGCTTTTCCCTTCCGAAGAGTTGGATCTGGCAGTACCATCGGTCCAACACCATCTCCAACGTTGCCAAAACGTGTGGAGGAAGACCCGTGCGGCTCTTCAGCGGACCGCAGCCAGGACCAAAGCTTCAGCTGATAAACACCGTTCGCCTGCGCCTCAATACCAGCAAGGTCAGTCGGTTTGGCTCTCTTCCAAACACATACCCCTGAAGACTGATTCCCGCAAGCTGTCCCCTCGTTTCCTGGGTCCCTTTGTAATAACCAAGGTTTTGGGCCCTTCTACTGTTCGTCTTCAGTTACCTTCTGCTCTTCGTGTTCACCCTACTTTCCATGTGTCCCAGTTAAAGCCTGTTCGGTCCAGTGATCTGTGCCCTCCTGCCGGTCCCCCTCCGCCCCCCCTGGTGATTGATGGTGGCCCTGTGTTTTCAGTTCGTCGCCTCCTGGATGTGCGCCGGCGGGGTAGGGGTTTGCAATACTTGGTGGACTGGGAGGGGTATGGCCCGGAGGAGCGTTCTTGGGTGCCCCGGGCCCGTATTTTGGACCCAGCCCTGATTGCGGAATTCCATAGGGCTGTTCCTGGCAGGCCTGGTGGTCCGCCAGGGGGCGTCCCTTAGGGGGGGGGGGTATTGTCAGGGTTTGTGTGTGTGGGTGTGTGCTCTCCCTCCTCCCCTGTGTTCCTGGAGCTGGGCGGAGTGTCTGGAGTCCTGGTCCTGCCCCTTGCTCAGCCCTCCACACCTGCAGCTCATCAGCCTCACCTGTTAAAAGCCTGGTTCACCCTTCACCATGTGCCAGATTGTCAGTTTAACTTACAAGACCCAGGTTCGTTTTTTGGTCCAGACCTAGTCATCCTCCAGCTTTTTGCCCTGCTTCAGCCTCCAGCCCTGCTCAGTCCTGCCCAGCCACCACTGCTACCTGCTTGCACCTATGTTTGTAATAAATCTTGTAATTGTCTGCACGTTTGATTCTCCAGTCATTACAACAGTAGCACTGGAGCAGTTGTGAGAACTTTAGCAACGAGTTACAGGGATTTTATTTGTATAGTTGTTTTCAACCTGAGGTACTGTAGTATTACACCTCCCTTTGCTTAGATAAAAGTATAAAGCTAAAATGTGCAGCGTGGATCTCTCCCCCGCCCTCCCCCGCCCTCCCCCACCCCTCCCCCACTCCTCCCCCACTCACACATAAACACAGACACATGGAGAGAGTCCCACTTCCTCTTCCTCTAAGAACAAGGAAACACTCTGGATCTTTAAACCAGGGTTAAAAAACATACTAGAAATGTATACTGAGACAGAGGTCTGTATGTATACTGAGACAGGTCTGTATGTATACTGAGACAGAGGTCTGTATGTATACTGAGACAGAGGTCTGTATGTATACTGAGACAGAAGTATGTATGTATACTGAGACAGAGGTCTGTATGTATACTGAGACAGAGGTCTGTATGTATACTGAGACAGAGGTCTGTATGTATACTGAGACAGAGGTCTGTATGTATACTGAGACAGAGGTCTGTATGTATACTGAGACAGAGGTC